TATACAGTGTGTTAATTAAGTTCATTTAAGTCTCCTGAAAAATATTTAAGTTTTCCTCACAAAAGTTGCTGCTTTCTAAAACCCCGTCAATTCACAAGTTGTTTCTTCTATTACGGTCTTCACTATCCACACTCTTTAGTTTTAGTTCTTTATTTTCCAAAGATATTTTTCCCTGTATTTTTCTAACATCGGGCAAACCTTTTTAATTTTTTCGCCCACTGCTTTTACTTTATCTTCACATTCATCTCCAACAAAATTCTGATTTTAATAATAATTCGTTATTCTCATATTGGTAAAACTGTAAGGTGAAGTAAGTAAATAAAAAAATTAGCTACTGTAAAAAGTATATTATTTTGGATCATTATTTTGTTCGTTTTGAGTTTTGCAAACGTTATCTACTATCGCAGCTAAAGATTCTTCGACATCTACAATGTTGGATAAATAAACAATCTATATTTTTAAATTGTTTAAAATAGCGTTTTCAGTATAAGGTTTATATATATACATAAAGCAACCGGGTTAGAACCAAATTGATTTGATTTTCACACATCCCAGTGGGTAGCGGACCAAAAAAAGACGTCTTTTGAATGTTCAAAAGACGTCCAAAATGTTCAAAAGACGCCCAAAACGTGTATAAGACGTTTAAAATAGTCTTTTTACGTCCGTGCTCACTGGGATGTGTATTAAAAATTGAGGAATGTTATTTAAAGAAAAAGAAGATTTATACTTTGCTGTACTGGTGAGAAAATGCTAGGGTTTAAAAGGTTATTGTATCTCCTTCTAGTTTAGGCGTATACTTTTTTAAATTTCTCATTTGTCTCAAAGTTTTGCTGATATTTTTTTCTTCATCTATTTGAGCATTAAATTTGTTTTGATGATTTCGACTTATAATTTGACTGGTAAAGCTATCTTAATATGGTAAAGCTATCTTAACCTTCTACGTTAAGATAGCTTTACCATATTTTTTGATCCATAGTTGCTGATATTATTATAACTATATATACAGCAAAATTATAATTATAGTTATATATACAGCAAAATTTCCATTGAGCATTGTATTTACGGTACAATTTCATAAATCTTGCTGAAATCGTATACCACCTTTAAATTGGCTTTCGGCTGCGCTCTGATCAGCATAAATAAGAGATTAAGGCAAATCATATTTTTCAATCAAGGTAGAAATGTCAGATTTGTCAATGCCTTCTGGTAGAGCTGATTTTTCTTCGTGGTTTTTTTCTTCAATTTGGACTTTGTTTTTATAATAAAATTCAGTATTGTAAGCATTTTGAGATAATAATTTGCGCAGCGCACAGTGGGCGGAATTTCAAAAAACCTGGCCAAAAGTCAAAAAATGATTATAATTAATGGAAAATTTCTGTATAGCATTTTTTTGAATCCCCAACTTTGAATTCAATAATGGCAGATCCAAAATGGCGGTGTTTTAAAAACATTAGTCATTAGAAATGCCTTTGGGCTTTCGTGTTTAACCAATTAGTTCTAATTCGACATTTAAGTTCAATAGACTAATGTATTATTTACATTACATATATAAACATTATATATAATACTGATATATAATGTATTATGACCGTATTATTATGCCGCAATGTTAAGAAAAATAAATTGAAAAATTCATTATTTATTCTACTTATTTATTTGTTCAAGGAAAACAAGAAAAACTTTTATTTGCATCATTTATCATAATTGTTTCATTTATATGACTTTAAAATAAATCACCACTGTCATCTGAATCATTTATTATTGAAATATTGTTGATAAACTCAATCACAGACGAATGAGTTTCAGAGTTTAACTTTTAACCAAGTGTCATGTGTCTTCAAAAATATTTTTTTTTGTTCGGTTACTACTTTTCCATTTTATTTTTAATTTTGTCAATACATTTTTTAGTTTCTTTTTATCATCTGTTGAAAATTGGAAACAAATTTTTCTTCTTAGACACAACTGTGATTGCAAAATATCAAGCTGGTCATCTAGATCTGAAGATAACTCGGTTTTTAAAATTTCAAAAATTTCAATTCGAGGAATTTGCAAATGATCTTTTTGTGAACCTTAGATATTAATTGAAAATATAATAATTGAAAAAATCATAAAAACATTATAACTTTATTAAACTAATTAAAAATAAAATAAAAAGTAATCGATAATATATTATTTTATATAAATTCGATATATAAGAGAAAGGTAAAATATACTGTTAATCATATGATTGTATATAGATATAGTTATTATGTTTTTTGAGAAACTGATTTTGTAAAATTTAGTAAAACTATACAAAACTTGTCGTAGCTGAGGTAAAAAAGACGTCGTAACCGAGGGGGTTTATCCCCCCCCCCCCCCTCCTACACTCTAACTTTGTCAAAATCTCATTCATGTGTGCTACTAATTTTATTGTAGTTTTATTGCACTTAAAAAAATCAGTTTCTCAAGAAACATAATAACTATATCTATTTACAATTTGACTGATTTTGTAAAGAAAACAAAACACCGCCATTTTGTTTACTAAAAAACACGACTAGCACTACACAATATAAGTTAATGAAGTAATAGGCAAAAATAGGTGCCTTTTCTTTTAACCAATCTTTAGAATACACTTTTATGAACAATATCCAAATTATAACTAAGCGGAATCTCGCGGGTTCACTACTTTTTCAATGCTTGAAAAATAGGTTAAAGAAAATAAATAAACTTTATTCTGTACTTTTTTGTTTGCACTTTTCGCATAAAATTTAGAGAAATAATATAAAACTTTTTACTAAAATATTATATAAATACCTTGAATAGTATCGTACATAGTTAGTTTTTTAGTAACGATAAATAACTTTTTTGTAAACGATACTTATTTAACCACATTTTTTTTTTTGCTTTTAAAACGCCAATTATGTGTTTTTAATAACAGATGTTTAACTGCGTAGATATAGGTAACTTTAAAATTTATACAATTTTTTCTTATACAATAAAATACAACAGGGCTTTGTTTATGTAGTTTCAAAATAATAAATTCAAAATAGTGATTTTTTTTTTTGACTTTTGGCCAGCTTTTTTGAAAATTAGCCCACTGTGCAGCGTTAACAAACAAGAATAAAAAGAGTCTATCGATTATATTGATTCATGTTAATTCTTTTTTTAAGAACCTGATAATATTAATACGCTAGTAGTTAAACATTTTCTAGGCATTTCTATTTGAAAGTAGTTTCTAGGCTTTTCTATACGCGGATTTTTTTACTAACAACCCGTATTACGGGTTGCTTACTGCTAGTTCTAATAATTCTAGTAATAATTCTTTTTGACAGCAATTATATCAATTTGCTGTCGTGACACATCAATGACAGTTTTTGTTGGTTAAGACGAATTAAATATTAATTTACTTGAGTAATAATATATAGTTTCGTCATAAAGTTTAAAACGAGTAGAATTAAAATATTTTTTAAAAACTTCGTATTTCATTCATTTTTTCTTATTTCAATATGACTTTTTTGTTTTATTTAAATTGAGGATACGGATACAAAATTCTTTTACATAAAGTTTAATTTCAAGACAAACATATTCTTGAAAAGTATTTTTAATTTGTTGTCTTTAGTTATCTGATAACATCGCATTTTAGAATTTTTACTTGATTTGACATTTTTACTCGATTTAATGCATAACCGTATTAAATACGGTTATGCATTAAATCGAAATTAAAAAAATAATTTTTTTGGTCCATACTTTTTACCAATTTCTTTTCGCTTCTTCATTTTGAAATAAAAATTGGCCAATTTTTGAGTCATTGCTTGCCGTTTAGACGTACTTTGATTAAAATAAATTTCTTTGAAATCGCGAGGCAACAGTTCACCACTGTTCCAATCGTTAGGTAAAACTTGAATTGTTTCATTCTGATTTAAATTTGTCGTTTTCAAAGTATGAATCGTCTGTAGATTTTTTGTAAATTATTTTTAGATGAGTTGACAATTTCTAGCCAAGTTTAATTTATGCTTTACTAAATAACATTATAGCGTCAGGATATATCCCATATTGTAAGAGTTTGCGAGCCATAGTAACCGTTATTAGTTTGCCCTATAAAGTATTGTCTGGATAAACGTTTTGAGGTTTAGAAATAGCATTTTTTTTTATTTTCAAAGCAAAAATCATTTTCAATATCAAAAGCGTCCGCATTTCCTTTTAAATAAAATGTGTTAAATCCTTTTTTGTTTAAAATTTCAGTTAAAGATCTAGAATTGTATTTTTTAGTTTCTTTTTCAATAGTCTGTTCATTTTTTTGCTTGTGTTTTTTTTTTTCCAATTTTTTGAAAAAATTTGTTTTGTTTTTTGCTTTTATATCTTTCTTTTTATTGAAAAATACATGCTTCATTTTGTTTACTTAGAATAATTACATTTATAGTTAAAAACAATAGTTATGAAGATGTTCATTAGAATAAAATTTTTTCGCGGTATATTAGGCAAACCAATATAAAGTAGATCCATAGATTTTTTTGTTTCCATATTTAAAAAAAATGGTTCCAGCAAACATATTATGTTTGATACCGATTATTTTGGAAAAAAAAATGATTAAGCTCAATTTAAAAAGTAATATCAAAGGGTGCCTTTTTTCCTTGACCAAATCGAGCAATATGGAGGAGCTTAACTAAAACCGCTTCTATTTCAAATAAATTATTCATTTGATTTCAAATTTAAACATCTAAAACAAGCGGTCGACAAATATCATCGTGTTAACCTAATATTATATCATCGTATTAACATCGTATTGTATATGCTGCTATCATCGGATTAAAAATGCTGGTATCATAATATGATACCAGCATTTTTAATCTGATGGTATTTGTCGACCGCTTGTTTGCTTGCCTCTCTGAATACTTCCAACAGGCATTTGTTGGTTTAAAATTGGTTTAGATCACGTTTAGATGGCATTTACGTCGATCTTAACGTTTAGGAATCTGTTCTGAATATTTAATTTGCGTTGAAAAGCTATATCAAACAATTTCCGTACGGAACTAACTTAATTCACACTTAATGTGTCGGACATTTTGAATCTTTCATTATGATTAAAAATTAGAATTTCTTATGAATCTTAAATTATGTAATAAATAGTTTAGAAGAGAAAAAATAAATTTGTTTTTAGTATTATAATGTGGTTAATGAAGCTGCTAAAAAGTCCTGTAAGTTTTTCGATAATATTGTATAAGCGATTAAAAGTAATTTTAAGTACAGTAACAATGTATTTTGATAATTCTTTATTTAGTTATTGCTACTAAAATAGCAGTTTCAAAAAATTAGCAGTAATTTCAAAAAAGTATCAGTTTCAGCATTTTTTTTTAATATTTCTTAAATTGTTTTTTCTGTTTGGTTTTTAACAACGCTTTAGAACGTCTATAGTTAACTCTTAGCTTCCTAATTTTTCTACTTTTATTAAAAGTAGAAAAATTATGAAAAATAGTTACCACTTAAAATGCATAAATTTTCTCTAAAAGTTTTAGAGAAAAATTATGCATTTTAAGTGGTTACTACTTTTAAATAACTAAATAAAATTATTATTGTTTGTTTATATTAAGACCTAACATCTATTTGTTTATGATAGATGTTATATTGATCGAATCACAATGTTATAATATTTATACTTTTAGTGCAGTCAGTGCCAATCAAAAAATATGGGGTTCAAATATTTATATAATGGATCTTCAGTTTTAGTGTAGGCTTTTAGTGTAAACAAAAAAATTTTTTTAAAAGTTTAAGTATTATTCATACTCCTATATGATAACCACTAAAGAGAAAATAAATTTACTTACCTCTGATATGATAGATTATTATATTGTATCATTTATTTTCTCTTTAGTAGAAAAGTTAACATGATTCAAACAATAATATAGTTGTATTACATAGTTATATTATATTTCTAAAATCTGCGCAAACATTTTTTTTATTGTTTATTAAGTTTTGCATGTTTAATTTCATTTAATCATTTATCTACAGTCCAGTCAGTTGCAACAATAGTTAAAGCAACAGGAAACAGCCAAGTACACATGCAAGTGGTAAATTGATTTTTTATAAAAATTCAACGCAAGGTATATTGATGATTTGTTCGAGTCTTTAAAGTTTAAATTAGTTAAAAGAGAGTTCAACTTGTTCTGTTTTTATCTTATGCTCTTTATCTAAAAGCTATTGAAATATTTATTACATTATTTTTCATTTATTATGTTATGAAAGACCTACCAAGCTTGAAATTTTACAGGTGGAAATATATAGTATGTATATGTATATTATCCCTCGGAATTAGGAAAACTAAAGTAAGCAAAAAAAGCTAAAAAAACTAGACGACTAAACTTATTTAAAACACTTTTAACAAGTTTAGTTACATGTTAATGTTATGTGTTGATGTACCTTCAACCAAATTAGTGTTAACATTTTAGCAAAATGTCATATCGTCAGGCTGTTTGATTGGAAGTACCAAAAGCTTGATATTTTATTGAATTGTTATTTTAGTTTGTGATATAATAATTTTTATTCAAAAAATATTAAATAATTTACTTTTAAATTTTATTTTTCATTGCTTTGGATAAGATGTTTTGTTATTCCTTTTACAGATTGTTATGAGGATTGCAAAAGTTTTAAATATCAGAAACTGAAAAAGGTATTGATAATCAGCAGATAATAAAAAAAGCAAAAGTACTGATTATTCAAATCTTTTAAAGGTTTTATTTTAATTTATTAATGTTTATATAGAAACTAATAATATATAAACTGAAAATAATAACATACAATTAATCCATAATTGTGCGTTACTCAATCTAAATTAGTTATATTTCAATTCCTTTGGAGTTAATATTACTAGTTTAATGCAAATACAGTAGAAATGGTTAATTATGGAAAAATTGCACTAAAAATTGAATAAATCGCTTGTTAAAGCAAATAATATTTTATATATATATATATATATATATATATATATATATATATATATATATATATATATATATATATATATATATATATATATATATATATATATATATATATTATAAATTTAAAAATAATAGTTTTATTTAGTTTGTTCTAATTTTTATGTAAAAAAAAAAAAGAAGCAAGTTTTAATTAGTAAATGATTAATTATTTTTACGGTAAAGTAAAAAAATTTTAGAAGACTTTTAGTTTAATGCTAAATCAAAAGGTACGAATATTGATAAGTTAGCTAATTTGATGTTAAAATAAACATGAAATAGAGTTTGTGAAGACCTTAGTGCTAGAAATACTTGCATGCATTAAGTTAAGATTATGCAAGTAAGTTGTCCTATTTTTATCTTTGAAGACTAATAATAGTTGTAATGAACATATCTCAGACAATATACACTCGGATTTACATTTTAGTTAAACCATCACCACTTCCACAGCCACCTTGTCTCAAGCATTCAATCACATTCTAAGATATCTTTATTGAAATTAAGTGTGACTACTTTACCAAAAGACTCTAGAATGGACCAATCAAGTAAGATGTCTAAATTTATATCTTTTATATAAAACTTTTTAGATGAACCTGTTAATTTTATGACTGATAAACATATTTAGCAATGTAATCCTTTTAGGATAGACTTTTTAAAATCAAATTTACAATGCTTTAGTAAATTTTTATTTAAAATAACTTTGTATACATAATATATCTATATAGTTATTTACATTGTAGCTAACTCATCAGTACTTGCAAAGTCTCCTTTTCTGTTAGCTCAAAAATTGAGTTCTAAAATACCACTATTCACATAACTACTATATCAAAGCACAAACTAATGATTAGTAAGCGACCGAGATTGATATTTGACCGGGGCCAGGGTCAGGTTTATTGAAACATAGCCGGGGCTGGGTTTGTGACCGGGGCTGCATTAATATTGATATTCCTTATAAATATATTATTGTTATTTAAAATTCATGATATATTTTATATAAAGGTATATATATCATCTCATTGTCATCATCATCATCATTATCATCATCATCATCATCATCATCATCATCATCATCATCATCATCATCATCATCATCATCATCATCAAGCATACAGTTGATGATGATGATTAAGATGATTCTGATGATGATGATGATGATGATGATGATGACAATGATCATCATCATCATCATCTTAATCATTGGCATCATTATCATCTTCTCTGATACACACTATAAATATAATTGCTACTCTCATACTATCTCTAAGATCATTGCTTTTTTTCCTATCTTTTAAAGACACCATATATCTATTTGTTCTTTCCGGATGAAAGAACAAACAAGCCAGCAACCTGGATATTCTAGAAAAGTTAGTGGCCATCATGTAATAAATTGATTATTTGAAATTTTTAAACAAAGTTAATAATTTGAAGAAATATTTAAAAATTGCTAACAATCAGGGTGTTTAAAATATCCTAAAATGAATTTCATAATATAATTTTATTGTAAAATTGCATTTACATTTAAAATGTAAGTAACTTTTTAATTGTAATTTTAATCATTAGAATTACATAGTTGAGCTATTCAAGTATTTAAATGTAAAGAATAATAAGAAAAAATTTATTTAAATGTAAAGAATAATAAGAAAAAGCGAATAGGTATTTCAGAAGATCCATTATTATATTGGAGTCTCATGAAAAGCGAGTTGCCAAGGCTAGCAAATTTGCAAAAGTATATTTATGTTCACCCTCAGCTAGTGAGAGGGAGTTCAAGGTTTCAAAGTTAATACAAAAAGATCGCATCAAACTTACAACACCGAATGTTAAAACACTTCTTTTTTAAAAATACAGTTTAAGGGCTCTTTCTTATTCAACATATTTATGTGATGCCCCTGAAGACTTTACACAACCTAGTTCAAAATACTATGATGTCTGGGACACAGAATCACCAGAATCAGAGGAAGAAACTTAAATTATTATAAAGTGTCTTATTTCTTATTTGTCATTGTAAGTATTTATGAGTTATATTATATATTATTTTTGTGACTTTTTCTTATATTTCCTTAAACTTTAACAAAAAATTTTAACTTGACAAAATTTAAAAAAAAAAGCAACAAAAACAACAACAAAAATCGAGCCCCGGCTAGTAACCCCTGCAAATTGTGTATGTTTAGCCGGGGCCAGGTTTGCAAAAACCTCTGTTTTTAGTTGGGGCTGGGGACCCGGTCACTTAATATAATGGATTGATCAAGTAATACTTAATTTTTAGCTTGAGTTGCTTGTCAGTACATATATGATTTTGATATATAAATTTTAATTATAATGTTTATTGATTAGTTTTTAACTTTAAGAATTTTAGGAATTACAATTTTATTTTTACATGATTATTTATATTGTAGTGAAACTGTCGGTATCTCCACAACTTTTCAATTAAATAGAAAGTTTCAATCAAACAGGATACTGAGTGTGCCTACTGCTTCTCAAGACAATTAATAATGGGAGTTGTCAAACTTGCGATAACTACAAGTTTTTTAATAAGGTTTTTATTATATAAATGTTATATATTATACAGAGTTTTAAAGAAATGTTCTTTATGAATTCTTACTATAGTTACTCAATGTACACTGTACTAATGTACAATCTTCTATAATCTATAAAACTATGGATTTATAAAAGTTAAATGAATGATTTATATGAATAGAATGAAGATGTTTATTGAGTTATTTTTGTTATTTTTAGTAAAAAGGTTGTATGACTTCGGTATCCGCAATATGGTATCGTGCATTGGTTCTTATCTTAGAATGGCTCCCTTCCGTATAGGTGAAAATAAGAAAGGTTATCAGTTCAAGCAAAGATGACAATGATCATTATGGAGCCGATCATGATGACGAATACGATAATGCATATAATAATAAATAAAGTGATTTTACTTGTATTTTAGACTTATATAAATAAAAAATTTTCGGTTTAATATTTAATTTGTTTTTGAGTATTTAGATAATGCGTTCAGCGTTTAACTTTTCTTTACGGTACTTATTTAAAGCAGCTTAAATAAATGAAAAGTTTGATTCGTTTATCAGTATTTTTTATTTATTTATGCTTCTTTAAATAAGCGCCGTAAAATAAAGTTAAACGTCGCGAAATTTAACGAAATATTTAGATGAAGTTTAAATAGCGTTTAAAACGAACCAATTAGATATGGTTTAAATGGAACATTCGATTGACCTACGTTCTAAATCGAAACTAAATTAAATCTAAACGTTTAGAACGAACATTAACTAAACGTTGATTAAATGTTCGAATGCCCGTTGGGTTTACTCAATCGTATGTTAATTTTGTTGCGTCGGCGGTTATTGAATTTGTTTTAAATTTTTTTTTTCTATTGTATTGAGTTTGCAAACTCATAGCATAGCAAACCCAACACGATAAAAAAAAAAAATTTAATACAAAATTAATAATAAACTCAAAATAAACTCAGCACGATAAAAAAATTTAATACAAATTTAATACAAAACTAATAATAAACTCAAAATAAACTCAACACGATAAAAAAAATTTAATACAAATTTAGTACAAAATTAATACAAATTACGCTATAGCGTAACCAAAAACACTGAGATGACAGTTTTTTTGGTTACGCTATAGCGTAATTTGTAAGTTTCACGTAAAGGTAACCAATTACTGAGTATAAACAATTGATCATTTATATTCACCCGGCCTAATGGTCTCAACGTTTTTAAATTTTAAAATTCCATGATTCTGTAACACATTCATACGCGTCTTTTATTTATATCATTTCTTCTTCAATTGTTTCTGATTTCATCAAGTCGTTTTGCGCAAAGAGTTCAATTGGGGGTATGCCTGTGTATTCTATATCTAAAAGATCCATAATTTGAGAATAGAGAAACAAAGTTATTTTCATAAAGCAAGCGTGATATTCTTCATTGTGAACAACTTCAGAAACACGAGGGTATAACCCAGCTAGCATACTTACGTTAGGCAAACGTTTGAATATACATACAACTTTGATTCAATGTTAGTTTTATTATATTTATGTTAATGAAAACCTGAATAATGAGGTGATTAAAAATAGTTAGGAAAATAAGATTGGCCTAACGTATGTAAAAAAAAGTTGATTGATTTTCCGATCTAAACCCAACTTTGATCTAACGTGCTAGGGTCAACGTTGATCCGACGTATATGGATCAACTTTGATCCAATGTGGATAACACCATATTGATCCAATGTCTATAGATTAACGTTGATCCGATGTTTTTAACCTAACTTTAATCCAATACGTAAGGATTAACGTTGTTTTATACGCATTAAGTCAACGTTGCTCCATATACATTAGAACAACGTTAGATTATATACAGTGGATAAACATGGTGTTTACATCGAGAAAAAGCAGATATACAAATTTATATTTGTATAATTTATGAGAATTATTTTTCATTCAAATATTTTTGTTGATTATGAAAATATATTTTGCTAATGCATTTTTCTCTTAAAAAATCTCAAGCCTCAAGCAAAACAAATATAAATAATGCCTCTTTACCAGATGCTCATCTCTGCAAGTTTGTTCTTGAATTATAAATTGTAAACAAATGTCGAGTTATCAAAACTGATGAAATATATAGATGCAATCATATATAACTAGATGTCTAACTTCGATCCAAAAAGTGATACCGCTTTTTGTCCTTTTTACAAATGTTGGATTAAATTTGTAAACACATATTATTCACTTTTCTTTTTTTACATGAAGTAAATTTATTTTGAATTTAAATACTATTTATGTAAAAGTGTTTAGCGGAAATTAGAATACTTGTAAAATAATAATTTATGATTCCTTAATTTATTTTCGATTAAAGAGGGATTAAAGTTTTGAATAGAAAAATAAACGACATACGCTTTTTAAGCATTTTAATGAATTAAAATAATTTTAATAAACATAGACTCATAAAAAAACTTTTATAAGTGTTTTATAATTATTAAAACTTGTTTTTGAATTATCTTTAATTTATTAAGAATTTTTGACTTGCATTTTTAATTTTTATTTCACACTTCGGCTTCATCTTTTGCCCTTTTTACAAATGGCGAACTATTTTCATAAACAAAAAAAAGCGGTCTCATTTTTTATCCAATAAAATTCTGCAAGTTAGATATTTAATTTATATAATATATTATTGTATAGATATAATATATATAACATACATACAACATATGCATAACTATATACATTGTTATATATTACTTTATAAATGTTATAATAAATTACATTTGTTATATAAAATATAATTATTGTCAATTTAGATGCAAGTAAAGTTTTTGATACTTGCAACTGGGATTTAATCTAAATTCTAAATTTAACTAATTGCAACTTGTTTTTAATAATAAATAATACAAGAATCTTGTTCAAATACAAAAGAAAATACATTATAAAGCAATAGAGTAACAATTACAAAGATTTTTTTTATTTTAAACCGCTGTTAAATTTGAAAGCTAGAAGACCAACAGACGCCAGGAATTCGAAAGTTCCGGGAGGCCACAAAATACTTAACCCGGCCCTGACACGATGTAATAAGTTTTTTAAGCCCGAGAGAGTAGAGCTGAGACGAATGATGTCATCAGCATAAGCTACAACACCAGTCAAGTTTCCGTATATAGCAGTACCAACAATGTCATCATTATTGTAGTTTCGAGTGGCTTTTCAGTGTATATGTTATATAGATAGGGTGACAAAATCGATCCTTGTCTCACTCCTTACTTAAGATCAAATGAGACTGATTTGGTACCTAGGTATGAGACAGTTGCACTGCCATATGTCAGTTTTTGAAACTACTTCGCACAAATTTCAATGCTTGCAAAAAAGTTTTTGGCGCACATATGCAGTGCCGGATCAAGGAAGTGGGGGGGGGGGGGGCTAGGGGGACTATAGCTCCCAGCCCCGCAAATTTAGGGACCCCCAAAAATTTTAGAGGACCTTTTTTTTTTTTTAAGTCATTTTTAGGCTCTGGCCTATAAAAAGGCCTCTAAAAACAAAAATAGCCCCGGGCCAGAAGAAGTCTTAATCTGCCACTGCACATATGTCTATTCACATTTAAGCCTTTTACTAATTCTTTCGGCGCAGAACAAAAATATTATTTAGAAATTAAAGTCATTTAGCAAATTCATCACCCTGGCAACAGAATTTAGAAAAGTTTTTCCACGCGAGACCTTAATGTTATTAACTGATTTGACATTAATGTTATTAACTGATTGATTTATTATTGTTATGAACTGATTGATTTATAGTTGTTATGTTGATCATTCGAGGTTTTTGAGGTGAAGTTTTTTTATGATCATCAAAAAACTTGTGACATTGTGAAGTAAAATAAATATAATAAGCGATTTTCTACTAATTTATTACTGCTCTGTTCTTATAGAATATAAGCCTATTTCTTTTTTCGATGTTTGTTTCACCCATATATCGTATTATAGCTCAATGTAGCACAAATTATCATCAATATGCCGATGATACCTAAATATAATCTATTGGGGTATCATCAGCATAATGATGATAATTTGATTTGATTAATATGATAATTGAAGAGAAGTCCATTTTCTAAAAACTATTCTGTAACTGCAGTATATATATATATATATATATATATATATATATATATATATATATATATATATATATATATATATATATATATATATATATATATATATATACATATATATATATATATATAAATATATATATATATATATATATATATATATATATATATATATATATATATATATATACATATATATATATATATATACATATATATATATATATATATATATATATATATATATATATATATATATATATATATATATATATATATATATATATATATATATATATATATATATATATATATATATATATATATATATATATATATTATATATATACTTTCATCAATCCAGGAAAAACTAATGCAGTAACAAAATAGTTTTTAGAAAATGGACTTCTGCTTAATCAAAACAAAATGGAAGTTATCTTATTTGGATCTAGGAAACAAACTAGCTAGTTTAAAAATTATTCTAAAATTACATTCTCTGGAACAACACGAATTCTTGGTGTCACTCTAAATTTAACACTCTCTTTGGATATAAACAACACTGTTAAATCCTGCAAGTACTTTATTCTTGCTCTTCACCACATATGTTCATGTTTCACAAAAGTAGCAGCAAACATAATTACTTGTGATATTGTTAACTCTCAATTTGACTATTGTAACAGTCTTTTATCAGGTATTTACATAAAAATTTTGAATGCACTCAAAATAGCATATCTCATATTTTCTCTCATTCTCCTTTCCATTTAAAATCAGAAAAATTGCTAAAATCTCTTGATTGGTTACCATCCATCAAAGAATAATTTATAAGATAAATGTTATTGCATATAAAGCTTTATTAACCAAATCTCCAGCGTATCTATTCAAACTCCTATAAACTCAAATTTCAAAACAAAACAAGAAATATTTAAACATTTGCAAAATTACATGTCACCTACCCAAAACTTCCCAAGGCCAAAATCTTTTTCCATGACTGCATGTCGAATTCGGAATTGGTTGTCTATAAACACGCATAACTCAACTCACCTTATAAACATTTTTTTAAAATTATAAATTTTTTGTAAGCGTTTTCTTTAACTGATAGTAAAGTTTTTCTGTGCTTCTAAGTTACTTCATCACAATTGTGATTGCCATAAATGATGACACTTTGATCTCTTATTATTATTGTTATTGTTATTATTATATTATAGGTATATCATTAATTGTGCCTTACATATATTTAGGAATGACTTTTGATGTATTGTACGAAGTAGGGTGCTCAGTAATCTAAAATGAATAGATCACTAATAAATTAATAGAAATCACATATTAGTTTTTTATTTTAATTTCATATTATATTTCATCATTGAAGACTGTTCAGAAGTTTTTCTGAAAAGCTTTCTAATATAGACTCTTCAGAGGTTTTTTCGTAGAGTCTTTTTTGACAAAACATTGTTGAATATGAAAAAATTGTTAGGTTTTTTCTACTAATATTTATACAGTAATAAAATTATACATCCTACAATAATTCATTTTTACTTGTTAATATCCCATTTGAAAAAATTTCTAAAAACTCTTCTATTAATTAAAGATAAAAAAATTATTTAGTCAGGAAGGTGTCCTTAAGTTAAATTACCTTTTTATTTATTATATTAAATAACTGAATTGATGTGGTTTTTTTTCATAAGTGCTATTTTCAAAATAAATTATTTGAGTTTTATAATTTCTTTATTAAAGACATTTTGCCTAAGTCTCTTTATGTTGTATCATTTCAAATTTTTCTCTATTTTTTTAAATGTCTTAATATTTCCATTTGTTTATTATTATTTATGTATTATTTGTCATAATCTTAAGAATTCTAATCATTTTAAATCTCATTAAAGTGTGATCTGTGTATAATATTTAACTTTTGTTTTGTTTTATATTATATTTTTTTGTTATTTAACATATAATATATTTTACATTTATTTTAAATCACACATATTACATTTATTATACATTTACATTGAGCTGAAAATTTGTTCAACAAATTGTTTGTGTAAAAGTAAACATGAAGGAGACTTTAATTACATATTGTATTTGCAAATTTTTTGCTTACTTATATACTTATTGAGTTTTTTTTCTAATTAAAATATGTACAAGTGCTCTTTTTCTACACATTTTTAATAATCTCTGGTCAAACTCACTTTACTTTTTTTTTTTTATGGTCAACTTGTTTAACTTAAGCTTATGACTTTTATTTTACTATATACTATATTAGGAAGTAGAATATGATAGATTTAGTAGATTTTTTTTATGTTAACAGGATTATTATATTAATTTACTTAAAATGGAGCATAAGCAAAAAATGTTAAAAGTTGGAGCAGGGTTAACTCGTCGCAATGTTATAGAAATAAAGTATATCTTTGCAGATAAGATTGGTGATGGTGTTCTTGAAAGCATTAATGATGGTCTTGAAATGATTAGAGTACTAGAACGTATTGGCTTTATTGATAAAGATAATTATAAAGAATTAATTGATTTACTTGAGAGTTTGGGTAGAAAAGATCTCATTTCAATCATTGATCCTCAGTCTCAACAGAGTGAGTTTTAATTTTTTAAGTTTAAAATAATTATTTTTGTTGTGTATTTATTATTTTTCTATTTATTTTTTGTGACATTAGTTTCTTATTCAATGGGCAAAAAAGGTGTTTAGTGTTTTTTATGAGGATGAAAATTACAGTATGTCTGCTAACAGGGCAATTTCATATGATAACAGTTACCCCGTGCAACTCTAAGTCTCAGAATTTGCTATTGTTTACATTACTCAAAGATTTTCATAAGTTATGAGCATTCCCAGAGTTTTCTCAGCTAATTCAAACATATTCCATAGATATTAATATGTTAACTTCGACTAACAAAAATTCTGTGTGCAATGGATAGCTGAGAATATGTACATTTTTATTTTTTTTATTTTTATTTTTTTAAACATCTTCTATTCCAACAAGGCTGCAAGCAACCACTAATTAGTGTTGGAAGAGAAAAGATGAAGATTTTAGAGCAAGATAATGATTGACAGACAACTTAAAAGATTGCAAATTATATGAATCAGGAAAACAAGAAAGCGAATTCCAAAAAGGAAAAAAACTAGACCAATAAGAGTTTTTGGAGCGCTTAGGAACAGTAACAGAAAAAGGATGAGACTTAATTAAAGGACGAGTAACACAAGAATGAATTTTAGTAGAAGGCACAAGAGACGTTAGCTCTTTAGGGCAGTGCTCATTATAGTATTTGTAAAAAAGAGAAAGAGAAGCAACATTTATATAATTTACTATATATACTATACTATATATATATTACATACTATAATTTACATTCATAATTTACATGTTATAAAGCCAAATTATGTAAGTGTACATATTCTCAGCTAAACCCAAAGGAACAACTTGAAACATGCAGATGTTTCTTAATTACTTTTATTTTTTTCTAAAAGTATTTCTAAATCGCTAATTTAACTTTATTAAATAAAGTCTTATACAATAAAGAGGATAGTCTTAGTATAACATTAAATTTGTTTTTAGTAGTTTGTATAACATTCCATTAAGATATCTGTTCAATATTGTTATATATATATGCTCTCAAAACTAATGGTTAAAATTGAATGCAGAACTTTCTTATAAAATTGTACAAGACTTTTTATCTAGGTTGTTGTGTTTCTTTCAGTTGTACAAGTACTTTTCTACATTATGATTGAAGATTCTAAAAGACAATAATAATAAATATAAGTGATATTGTACTTCTGTTTTATTTGACTGCCATCTGGCGAATACGAATTCATATACACTTGTTAGCATTGCTCAATCGGGCAGCTTATATAGTCTAAACCTTGCAAATTTTCATAAACTTCTACAATACTCTGAATTCTAAAAGGTTTCATAGGTTTCTAAAAACATCTAAAACAGTCCAGAAAATTCTAGATGGTTTTAAAAGGTTCAAAAAAATTCTAAGCTTTAGAAAGTCATTATCATACTGCTGGCAAATACAACTTATATAGCATTTTAAAAATTTTAAGTTGTGGGTGACATTTTTTGAAAATTAATCGATTAAACCAACATGGGTTTACAGTGAGCTAGAGAAGAAAGTAGTATGAAAGTTAATCAAACAAGTGTGCGACAATTCGAAGTTCCTACTTTCAATTTTATGGCATAGATTGTGTGAGATTTGATTGATTGAAGTAATTCACAGTAGGCAGAGCCGCCACTAACAACACAGCTCACTGATAAAAGAAACAAAAGAGGATTGCGCTCAACTTTATTTTGATTTTTTTGAAAAATTACCACATGGTACATGTGGCATGGTAATTTTTCAAAAAAATCAAAATTATAATAAATATGCCACAGTTGTAGAATGTTGTGTAAAGATGGTAACATCTGTTTCTGACGCGGTTTGTGGTGGTATAAAAAGAGTTGATGTGATACATGTCTGCCTGCAGTCTAGAAAAAATATGCTGGTATTTAACACAAAGGAACTTTATAACATTTTAGAACAATTTTGGCTCTATGTATATTAATATTATGTAGTAAATTGTTAAAATTACTCCATAATATTGTTAAATTATAAAGCAAAACGTAAATAGACTAGAAAAAAAGCATTCAAAAGAGAAAACACTACAAGTTATTACTTAAAATAAAAAGCAATTCTGAAAGTTTGCCTAACATGGCCAAAAATTACTGCAGGGGGTAATTCTTGTCCAATTTTGCTCATCTTATTCTCATTTTTAGTTTTCTTATAATTAATATAGAAAGCAGGGAGAATAATAAATTTTTTTAAAAAGTTATTTTTACTCCACCCTATTCCACATCAAATATACAATTTGAAAAAAAAAAATGCAAAGTTCAATGTTTTTTAGGTTAGTTTGTATTTTATTATTTTACATCAACAAAAATAGTAAAAAACATCTAGCACTTTTAAAATATTGCTTTAATTAAGTATTATGTAATTTTTTAATTACATTAATGAAAAAAAGCAAAAAAAAAATTTAATCATTTTTGTAATTAGTGTAAATAATTGTATTTTATATAAACTATTAACGTGTTGCGTCAGAAGGAATGTTGTGGGCGCGTCATATATTATATTGTACATAATGTTTATACTGTTTATTATACTCTCAAGGGTATTTGCAAATGTATATATATTGAGTAAAAATATTTAGACAGTAAGAAAAAACAAATATATTTTATTATTACAAACTATTTTGGCAATGAGTATCGTTATAAAGTTTGTGGATCTGGTATCACAATACGATGGTTCGGGTGATTTTTCAGAATGGATACAGAAATCGGAACTGGTAGCAAAACTTCAAAAAGTTGACGAGCTGCTTGTGGTGCTCCCTTTATTTCTTTCTGTTTCTGAAGAGTTCGTAAATCGCCGTCTTAAAGAGAATGTGTCCGTTGACGTATATCTTGCAGAATTAACAAGATCGAGCAAGCTAATATCATCTCACGTAAGCGAAGAGTGGATAAGGTGCGCATTTATTCTTGGATTACCTGACAAAGCAAGAAAACAGCTGCAAACTGCATGCTCAATATCAACAATGTTGCTGTGCTAGATTGCTGAAAAATCCAGAAGTAATTTTACGTCGCAAAGAATCATGTTTTGTCAGTTGCGTGAATCCGGTTGCCATTAGTTCAAGACAAGTTCCTAAAGGACGCAGAAAAAAGACCATAACGTGCTACCATTGCGGTGAGGATGGACATATCAGTCAAAATTGCAGCAAAGAGATTGAGAAGAAGAGGTGCTTTGTGTGTGGAATGGACAATCACCTGGCCCAGTACTGCTATAAAAGGTGTACAAACTCAAAAAAGTGGAAGGGAAGCCACCCGTTTTTGTGCGAGCGGCTTCCCACAAATTTTAAAACCGCAAACTCTCCGTGTATATGTCAATGGAAGAAAAATAAAAGCATTGTTAGATACTGAATGCTCCAAATCAATTTTACGTCAGGATATTGTAAACCCAAAAAATGTCAAACATGCAAGCGAAAAGATTGTTATGATGAATGGAAAGTCAATTGAAGTACAATACCAGACTGTTGTTAATCTTTCTATAAATGATACCACCATTGAGTTGGAATGCCTGGTTGCCAACATTGTTCCCGAATATCAAATGCTACTTGGTATGGACGCAATGCGACTGCTCGGAGGTGTCCAAGTTGGGAGAGACGGCGAAACCATAAAGTTTAATGTAGAGCAACTAACTATCTGCATATATAAAACTATACTGCAGTCTCTCAAGGAAAAACGAATGAAGTATCCACACTTACTATTCAAAAGCTGATTGATAAAGACTTCGTAGCAGAATTCAAAAGTGGCAGCTGGAGCGTGTCTTGGAAATAGCTTATGGAACCACCAACTTTAACAAACAAAATTCCAAACTATCACATCTCTGAAGATGTTAAAAGTGAGTACGCAATGGAAATAAGTGAATGGATAGCACAGGGATGGCTGAAACCGTTTGAAGAGAAATGTAATGGCATCATTCCGTTGATGGCAGCAATTCAACGAAACAAATTAAAAGTACGTCCGGTGATGGACTACCGGGAGCTGAATCAATTTGAATCCAGTCATATTGCAGATGGCGATGTTTGCAGTACCAAACTTCACAACTGGAGAAAGTTAGGAGAAAATCTTGAGATAATCGATTTAAAAAAAAGCGTACTTGCAGATTCGTGTCGAAGAAGCATTATGGAAATATCAAGTTGTGGAATATGAAGGGCAGCGATATTGCCTAACAAGATTGGGTTTTGGTTTAAATGTGGCTCCCAGAATAATGACAAAAATCTTAAAAAAGGTATTATTCTTAGTATTAATGTTACCCACTATAAATCAGAGATTTATTTGTCTCTCATTGACTGTGGCAAAAGGAGCAAGTTTGCAATTTGGAGGAAGCTACAAAACGAGAAAGAAGCAACAGTGTGTTTCTATCTAGAAGAAATATTTCGAGAAAGAGGACCTCCGTGGCAGGTTCTTCTTGACAACAGCATGACCTTTCACCCAAAACTCGTTGGTGAATTATGTGCAGAATGGGGAGTGTCCATCCTGTTTCATTGCGCTTACAGGCCATCTGAAAATGGAATTGTTGAACGTCACCATCGCACAATCAAGCGCATGGCAGCAAGAAGTGACAAAGATCCGTTAAAAATGGTATATTGGTTTAAGGTGGCTCCCAGAAAAAATTACGAGAAAACATCGCTCCCCTACAAAGCTATATTTTCCTATGAGTGGAAACCACACACAATTTTTGCCAAAACTAACGAGGAAGTTCTCCACAACTACACACATTGACAAGAAGTATTTGTAAAACCACCTGATTCAAAATGTACTAGCGAATGGAATAGAGGAAGAGTCTCAGATGAAGGACGAGGAGTTTCGGTAGAAATCAATGGATTGCCGGGACACATGTCGGACGTACATCCAGCTCCCATTGTAGCTGACTTGTCTACAAGAGAACCGGAAGAACCCACCGCGAACAACCTGAATCTCAGAAGATTGACACGTGTGCGGAAGTTTTCAAATAAGTATGCAGATTTTGTGATCTAGAGATCAAGGGGTATTGTAATTAGTGTATATATTGAGTAAAAATATTTAAAAAGACAGTAAGAAAAAACAAATATATTTTATTATTACAATTTTTTTTAATAAAAAAGTTTGTCTCTTTTTTTTTAATGTTTTGACATAATTATTTTAAAATAAACTTGATAAGTTCAAATGACCATTATAAAAATTTATATTAACATATTAGACATTGAATAAACTGTAAAAAAAGCAACAACAACAAAGAACTAAAGAGCTTTAGTAGTTTTTAAAAATTTATGTAAGTTTTATATAACTTTAATTAAAAACTTTTTAAAAATAAAATATGATTTTTAATAAGCAAGATTTTTATAGTTGTGTTTTTAACCTAGTATCTAAAATACAACTTATTTTAAGTATTGTTAAGCAAGTAATAATTTTTGTACGATCAAAGGGAAAATTTGTGAAGAGTAAAAAAAGTAAAACTTAAATAAAATCTTTTTTAATAACCAGTAATAAACATTTCTTAGCTTAAAATTGAATTATATAACACAAAAACAGTTTTAAAAGTATTGAACTCATTCATTCAGGTTTTAGCTCTCTTGCTTGGAGTTATTTAGTTCAATTTTTATCCTTTTTTTAATTAGGAAAAATGTTTCACAAAGAAGAAGAATAACGAAGGAACTCATTAAATATGAAAAAAAGAAGAAACGCGAGGCAAAATATTATTTAATAATATAAAATAATAAATCGTTTCAATAAAAATGTAATATAATCAATACTAAATTAGAGTTAAATAAATTTGTACTAATGCAACGTTATTTTCAACAATTTTTCTAGAAAATGCTATGATGCTTGCATAAATAAATATTCTGATATATTTTTGGTGATACAAAGCATTGTATTGTAAAACAATACAGTGTTTTGTATCATCAGTAAATGTAACTTTACTCAATATACATATTTATATCGTTAAAAGTTAAATTATGTCAGTTGTGTATTTTGAAATACCCCTTTGTAATTAAATTTATTTTGAAACCATGTTAAAATTCATTTAAAGTTTAAATATCTTTAAACTAAACAAATTTAAATTTGTTTGCATTCTCAATTTTTCAATTTTTTCGATTCAACATATTTTGAAATAAGTTGTAAAATTTCAAGGACTTTTACAAATAGTACAAGTACTAATCTAAAGTAAAAACCTGCAACATTACAATAAAAGTGATCATAATAACAATAATAATAGTATTGATAATAATTATAGAAGTAATATTAACAATAATAATAAGATGGCGATGAAAAGGAATATTATTAGTAATAATACTAACAATAATAATAAAGATATTATACAATCAATATTAGATTATAGCAATAATAGTGGTAATAACAATTACATAGTATAAGTAGTAAATAAACTTAAGAAAAATTTAAAAAAGCAATAATAATACTTATTATGTTATAAATAAAAATAACAATTTACTAATAAAGATAGAAGAATATTATTAATATCATTACTAATAATAACAAGAAAAATATGAGAACAAAAAGTTAATAATAAAACTAGTAGGTATCAAGAAAGTAGTAATAATAATAGCATAACAACATATTTCAGAGTCTTCAGGTATAATATCTTGCTAAAAATAGTTAAAAAGACAGTTTTTGAAATTAGTAATTGAGTAATTCTCACTATTGAGTTTTGTTTTTTAAATGAGTGGGCAATTGTTTATGGATAAGTTTCTTAACGGTCAAAAAATAATAAAATAAAAAACTATCAACAGTTTTTTTGTAATATATTGGCTTTAAGAAAATCTTCTTCTACTGCTCATAAATTAGTTAATCATTTCTATTAGGTGTTTATTGTATCTTCATTCTAAAAAGTTAATGTTAATGAAAAAACCATTGCTTAAAAAGCAATTTTAAAACTCAAAAAATCATTGTTACTTAAATTTATTTTATAAAATTTACTAAAATAATTCTCTAAATCATTTTTTACAGGCTTGATTATGGTTTATCTATAAACCATATAAGCATTATGCACTTTTGTATACTAGCACTTTTGTAAAGCGATGAAAAAAATTATTGATTTGAAACTATAAACAAAGAAAATAATTGAGTGTAAAATGAGCATAACAAAGTAACTTAAATTAAGTAAAAAGAAATTTCTTTTCTTTAAAGTTTGCAAAGTAAAAAAAAAAATTGAAAAATAGAATGCTCAGATTTTTTTTTTAAATTTTAATTAAATTTAATAAAATAAGTTTAAATTTATTATTTAATAATAAATTTAATTTAAAATTTTTAAAAATGGGAAGTAGAAAAAAATTTTCTTTAAGATTGTTTGGGAATTTGGGAAGTAAAAAAAAAAATAATAGTGAAAATGTTTTTTACAACATTACTGCTTAATGTTTTCTGCGTGAACTATTTCAAAAGTCTGTTTACATATTCCAATTGAAAAAAGTTTATGCATAATGTAAATGGTTTAACGCGTAGGCAAAATCATCATTTTGTACATAAAATACATACAGCGAAACATAAGTTATCTGTGTCACTTTAAGTACATAAAGTACTTTAAATTTTGAATTTTTTTCGAGGCTACCATCTCATCGTCTCTGCTATATGTGTGCTTTTCTTAGTTTTACTGTGTGATGGTTTTTTACCATTTTTTTTTGTACATTTTGTTTTTAACAATTCAAGTTAGTTTTCTGTTATTATTAAAAATATCATTTGTAAACTGCAACAGTGCATTAGACAATATATGATGGCATGATTATATTATACAAGTGTTATTGCGTTTTATAATAGAGTAATTTGTATAAATGGTAAAATAAAACATCAGCTAAAGGCTTAATAGTATGCATACATACATGAGCATTATTGTGCAAGGCTCTTAAGAACAAAAGTGACCTTGATCTTAGAAAAAGTTTAAAATTCTTGGTCTTATATTGACATTATGATGTCTTGATATTGGTCTTGAAATCTTAAGTCTTGGTCTTAGTCCCAAATGCCTTGGTCTTAGTGTTATCGTGGCCTTTACTGTCTTGACTACATCTCTCTGTAAAACCCAAAAAACTTTCTCGCTGTCACATTTAACCTGTCAGAAAACACTTTCCAGCATTATATATATATATATATATATATATATATATATATATATATATATATATATATATATATATATATATATATATATATATATATATATATATATATATATAAATTTCTTGATATTTCCAAGTAATTTAGAAAAGTAGATCACGTTGTTATGACTTTAGTTTTTTTAGTAGTGATGAACCCAGAGTTTATTTGAAGATACCATTTTTTTCTTCTGGCAAAGTGGATGAAAGGAGGGGGGGGGGGGGAGATTAAATGTTTTTATGGTAACTTTCCCCTAAAACTGGTGCTGCAATAATTACACAACAAAAACATTTTTTGTTGTTGTGCTAAGCAAAAAAATTTTTTGTATTATTTTTAACTAGAATAATATTCATCAAGAAATTTTAAATTTCATAGTAAAATAATTTAGTGTTCATATAAAGTTTAAACCCCCTCAATTTGAGGGGGTTTCAAACTCTATATAGTCATAATTTTTGAACATTAAAATATTTTACTATGAAATTTATAAATTCTGAATGAATATAAGTCTAGTTTAAAATAGTACAAAAAATATTTCATCAACTTGTTGCTTTCACCTTTGGGGCAGGGAGGGATAAGATTTAAGGGTTTTTTGTTCCATTCTTCCCATTCACAGTAATTTAAAAAAAAAAAAAATTTTTTGTCATAAATATAAACGTAAAAAATTTGGAATATTCTTGTTGTTTATAAGTTGGTTATTTTAAACATTTAAAAATCTTCCACCCCACCCCCTCTCCCCCTTAAAAAAAAGCCTACTCCAATTTTTTTAATTGGTAGTAGCTTTAAAATACACCCTTTTGCAACTTTTATTTTAATTCTATGTAATAGAATAGTAATAGAAAGTAGAAAAAATCATGTCAATATTGTTTTATTGTAAGTAATTTAGTAGAAATAATCATGTCAATATTGTTTTATACTTTAATTAAAAATAGTTTAATCGTATCTATTAGTTTATTTGTAGTGGGGGAAAGAGGAGGTAGTTAGGAAAAAAACAAAAGGGGGGTCATAATAAAAAGCAGGGTTGGAATTTTTTTTTAAATCTTATAAACAGGGGGTCTTAATGAATGATAGGGTTGGATTTTTAAAAAAAGCTTAAAGTTTTATATTGTATAATATAAATTTTGTTTTATATTTATATGTATATATATATATATATATATATATATATATATATATATATATATATATATATATATATATATATATATATATATATATATATATATATATATATATATATATATATATATATATTTTAGAACTAAACTCAATTATAAATCCTACAAGTACAGATGCAACATATAATGATGCTTTGACTCCAAATATACTTGATAAGGTTGCAATTCAACTTGGTACTGAATGGCTTAGGTTTGGACGCCATCTTAATTTGAAAGATGCTGATTTAGATCACATTGATGTTGATTATATAAAAACTTATGACAAGGCCTTTCAGCTTTTAAAACTATGGAAACAGAAGTCAAAGGAAGGTTGTCTAACCTGGTCCAAATTAAAATATGAACTCCAGCAGTTTAATCGTATTGACATAATAAGAGAATTACAAACAGAATTTAAACATTTAAAAGGTAAATTTTTATGTTTATTTATGTTTGTATATTTTCATATAGTTTTCAGTGTATTTATGATAGAAAATATTTGTTTGAAACAGATACAGGGTGTACTAAATATTTGTTTGAAACAGATACAGGGTGTACTAAATATTTGTTTGAAACAGATACAGGGTGTACTAAATATTTGTTTGAAACAGATACAGGGTGTACTAAATATTTGTTTGAAACAGATACAGGGTGTACTAAATATTTGTTTGAAACAGATACAGGGTGTACTAAATATTTGTTTGAAACAGATACAGGGTGTACTAAATATTTGTTTGAAACAGATACAGGGTGTACTAAATATTTGTTTGAAACAGATACAGGGTGTACTAAATATTTGTTTGAAACAGATACAGGGTGTACTAAATATTTGTTTGAAACAGATACAGGGTGTACTAAATATTTGTTTGAAACAGATACAGGGTGTACTAAATAATGATATTTGCGATTTTTTTTAATTTTACTTGTTTCGATACAGGAAATTGATATTTAAGGTAATATTTTTACAATAAATCCTAATGAATGAGGGATATAAAAATAAATTTTTAAAATTTATTAGTCAGACCACGGTTTTAGACTGCAGTTTAAGTTAGACCACAGTTTTAGACTGCAATTTGGGCCTTCTATCTTAGTATACCTAAAATGTCTGTATTTTTTCAAACATTAAATATTTAACGATAATTTTTCTAAAACAAAAAATAAATATAGTTAATCAATATTAGGGTCATATTTAGCTATAATAAAATAAAAAATAAAGTAATTTTTTTATTTTTATTTTTTAAAGAAGGTTAAAAAATTTTTTAAGAATCTTTTTTAAAGTGCTTGATTAAGGTCCTTTTATCCTGAAATGATAAAAATAGTTAAACATTTGTGCTTTAATTAACTAAGTATTTTTTTTATTTATTGTACAATATATGCAGCTAATGTGTATTTTAAACATCGAAATATTTGTATTTTAATAAGTTTTGCTTACAGTCATCTATAATATCATCTTCAGTTGTGGGTTATGTGTAGCCAGCAACTGAATTTGATTAACCATTATTAAATTATTAGGCATACAAGCACTTTATAGATAGTCCAATGGCATAGAGTACATGTTATCTAGGCCTTTGCAAGTTTTACCTTTAAAGAAACATAAAGATTTTTCTTCTTGCTTTTTATATTGTGCATACAGAAAAAATTTATTGACACCTGCCTTAGATAAACTATTTTTTATGTTGTGCATACAGAAAACATTTATTGACACCTGCCTTAGATAAACTTAAACTATTTTTTGAATAGATAATTTAGGTAGCTTAATAACATGTTTATGAAAGCCAGTGTTTATTACACCAGTTGACTTCACCTTCTCCATTCATGAAAGCATGCCAGAATATGTTTGTTACACCGGTTGACTTCACCTTCTACATTTCATCTATTAGGCTGGCGCAGATGTATTTTTAATACATTGTTTCCAGTTTAGGATGTTGAACGCTGGATCTTCTTGACTCAATGCGTGGGTATTGCTTGTGTCTCTATTTTTATGACTGGGCAACTCATTCTATTATCTCCTAATGAAGGTACAGCTCTAAAACTCAGTTTTATGGTTCTGAGGCCGGCTGGTAGTCAGGTTTCCCGAACTCTGTGGTAGCTCTCAGAGAGGCTGATTCCATCAACAGCCGAAAAATATCAGAGTACTAACAGTGCCATGTTGCGCATGGATGGTGTCCCTGTTTGTACTTTTGGTGTGCATTGCAGAGGCCACATTTGGAGCCCTTTGTTACGGCTTAGGGTTTATTAATAGTAATGAGGCTATTGCTTAGTTGTTAAATAGTGTACTGAGTACAATCTATACTTGAGTCAAGTTCTTTATAAATTTAAAATGACTAAAGTACCTAAAACTAAAAAACACAAAAAACCATCGTCATCACCAAGTTCTCTAAACCTATCATTTACTAATATTCGTGGTCTTCAAAGTAACTTTTCTTCTGTTGAGTCTTATCTCTTGCAAAGTTCACCAGACCTACTTGCTCTTTGTGAGACTAATTTGAGTTCGGCTGTCCCATCTTGTGATCTTAGTGTTGATGGTTATCTTCCTTTAATTCGTAAAGACTCCAATAATCACATGCTTGGCCTGGGCATCTACATTCGTAAGAACTCACCCATTTGTCGTGAAACTAGGTTTGAATCTACAGACTATTCATTTATGTGCTTTCGTTTAGCACAACTTCACTCTATCGCCTTTCTCTTTGTTCTATATCGCTCTCCTTCATCCCAAGATTGCACTATTCTTGATGTTATTTCTGATCAAATTGACCAAGCCCTCTCTCTTTATCCATCGGCTAATATCGTTGTTGTTGGTGACTTTAATGCCCATCACACCGATTGGCTTGGCTCTAGTGTCAGTGACTCTGCTGGCATTAAGGCCCTCAACTTTTGCCTTTCTCAATCTCTAACTCAAATAGTCAACTTTCCAACTCGTTTTCCAGACAACCCTAATCATTTACCTTCTCTACTCGACTTATGTCTTGTTTTGGATCCTAGTCAGTGCTCAATTTCTCCACATTCACCCTTAGGTACTTCTGATCACGGTTTGATCTCTCTAAAACTATTATCAAATTCTTCTACTTCATCAGAATCCCCCTATCATCGTACCACATACAACTACCTTAAAGCTGACTGGGACTCTTTCCGTGATTTTCTTCGTGATGGCCCTTGGGTAGAAATCTTTCGTCTTCCTGCTGACAAATGTGCTTCTTACATAACTTCGTGGATTCAGGCTGGCATGGAATCTTTTATTCCCTCTCGACGATTCCAGGTCAAGCCTCACTCTTCTCCTTGGTTTTCCTCACATTGCGCTGCAGCAATTTCTAATCGAAACCGTTACTTCCATATCTATCAGCAAAACAATTCTCCAGAAAACAGACATCTGTTCACTATCGCCAGAAACCATTGTAAAAAGGTTTTGTCTGACACCAAAGCTCGCTATTCCCAGGTCATTAAATCTCGTATCTCATCACAAAAATTAGGCTCTCGAGACTTCTGGAGAATCTTTAACAGTATCAATAATAAGGGCAAGTCTGTTATTCCTTCTCTCTTGTATGGTTCAGACTTTGTCACCTCACCTAAAGACAAAGCTGAATTGTTTGCTAAGAACTTTTCATCAATATCATCTCTTGATTCCACTAGTTGCATTTTACCTGACATAGCCGTCAAACAGGTTGATCCCTTGCTTGACATTCGCATCACTTCAGCTTCTGTATCTAAAGTAATTTCCTGCTTAGACTCTTCAACAGCTTGTGGTCCTGACAACATTCCTGTTGTAGTCTTGCAGAGGTGTTCTCCGGAGCTTTCATCCATACTTTCTAAACTATTTAACAAGTGCTTATCAGAGTCTTGTTTTCCATCATGCTGGAAAGCAGCATCTGTTATCCCTATTTTCAAAAATTCCGGAGAGCGATCTGATTCATCTAACTACCGTCCCGTTAGTCTTCTTCCTGTCATAAGCAAGGTTTTTGAATCTTTAATCAACAAACACTTAATCTCTCATCTTGAATCAAATAACTTACTTTCTGATCATCAATATGGATTTCGGTCTTCTCGTTCTACAGCTGATGTGCTAACAGTAATAACCGATAGGTTTTACCGTGCATTAGATAGAGGTGGAGAGGTTAAGGCTATCGCACTTGACATTTCTAAAGCTTTTGATAAAGTTTGGCATGCTGGTCTTCTCCATAAGCTTTCTTCTTATGGTGTAGCTGGTAACGTCTTTAAGATTATTGAGTCCTTTCTTTCCAATCGTAGTATAAAAGTTGTCCTCGATGGACAACACTCTTCTTCACATCCTGTAACTTCAGGGGTTCCTCAAGGTTCAATCCTTGGCCCTATACTCTTTTTAATTTACATTAACGATCTTCCAGATATTCTCACATCTAAGGTGGCATTATTCGCTGACGACACTACCATTTACTCTTGTCATGATAAGAAGCCTACACTCTCTGATTGCTTGGAGGGGGTATCTGAGCTTGAAAAGGATCTCACTTCTGCTACAGCATGGGGCTCACAGTGGCTGGTGAACTTTAATTCAGATAAAACTCAATTTTATTCGGCCAATCGTTATCGTAATAATTTAGATCTTCCTATATTTATGAATGGTAATGTACTAGATGAGTCATCTACCATTCATCTTCTAGGATTAACTCTTACTTCTGATCTTTCTTTTAAACCGTATATCAAATCCATTGCAAAATTAGCATCTGCTAAGGTTGCATCTCTTTATCGAGCTCGACACTTTCTTACTCCAGATTCTATTCTCTATCTCTATAAATCTCAAATCCGTCCCTGTATGGAATACTGTTGCCACATCTGGGGCGGATCTTCTAATGATGCTCTTTCTCTTCTAGACAAGTTGCAAAAACGAATTGTAAACATAGTTGGACCTGCTCTGGCAGCCAATCTCCAACCTTTGTCACATCGTCGTAATGTTGCTTCTCTTTCTCTTTTCTACAAATACTATAATGGGCACTGCTCTAAAGAGCTAGCGTCCCTTGTGCCATCTACTAAAATTCATTCTCGTGTTACTCGCCATTCAATTAAGTCTCATCCTTTTTCTGTGACTGTTCCTAAGTGCTTCAAAAACTCTTATTCTTCTAGTTTTTTTCCTCGAACATCAGTTCTTTGGAATTCGCTTCCTTCATCTTGCTTTCCTGATTCATATAATTTGCAATCTTTTAAGTCATCAGTCAATCGTTATCTTGCTCTACAGATTTAGTCTTTTCTCTTCCAGTAACTTCCAACTCTTATAGTGGTTGCTTGCAGCCTTGTTGGAAGTGAAGATGTTAAAAAAAAAAAAAAAAAAATCCTATTTTTTTATAAAATTTGTTTATAAAAGTTTGCTGCCTGCTTGTGCTGATCTCTTAGAAGTCAAAGTAGTAAATGTGACTTATTTGGAAACATCAGTATAATTGATAGACTTGCTAAAAATGATCTATAAATAACTTTATTTTGTAGGAAATCTTTCTGTATATCATCTATTGCAAGTTTTCTCTCCCAAACACCTTTAAATTACTTCTTTTACAGTTAGTACTTCATTTTTCTACAGTTTTTCACACTAAATCTTTATTTAAAAACTTTGGTAAAAAAAAATACCAAATGGTTATTAAAATAGAAGATAATTATTTTTTGAGCAAAGTATATTTTGACAGTTGTCAAGAGAAAAATAAAGATTAATAGAAGAATATTTAAAAATAATACAATGACAAAAATAAGACAGACAATGCACCTAAACAATACTTATAATAATAAAAAAAAAAAAAACTTTTTATAAACACTTAAAATGAACAAAGATATACAACAAAGATATCACCAAACAAAAACTTACGTAACAAAATATTGACTACAAAATAAAAAGTATGCATGTAATAATGTAAGGCCAAGAATGGAAAACAAAAAAACAATGTTAATGTGTAAACATAATTTGTGTAGAGGTTAAGGAATAAACATCTCCTCAGAGAATTTTTTTCTAACTAATTTAGTACCTTCAAACCTAATTTAGTTCAAAGTAAAACATGTTTGTTTGTAGTGTTTGTTTTTTTTGAATAACATAATGTGCAAGCAAATTTTTAGTATGTTTCAATATATATTTATCAATATATATCAATATATATACAGGTAGAAGAAGGAGTTTTTAATGTTTCATATAACATTATTTTATTAAATTTATCATTATTTAGTTTAGTTTATTTTATTCAGTAATCAGTCCAAAAATTACAACAAAAAATTAAATCTAAAAAAAAAAGATTAATAAAGAGGGCAGCACCAGACTCCTCTGTTCTCACAGTCTTGTGCTGCATACAAAGCAGCTATAGTTAAATAAAAAAGTTTTTCAAGCAGTTGACACTTTGCGCATCAACGGTCTTCTTCTGGAGAGCATTTCATTGGCGTAAAATTCGAAAAGTATTTATTATGAATCAATATATACATCACAAGTAGGTATTAATACTATGTCTTTTTATAAATTGCCAGTTTACCAGCTAATGGTTTCTAGCCAAGACAAAAATGTTATGTTGGTAGGTTTTATGTATATATATATATATATATATATATATATATATATATATATATATATATATATATATATATATATATATATATATATATATATATACAAATATAAATATATATATATATATGTATGTATATATATATATATATATATATATATATATATATATATATATATATATATATATATATATATGTATATATACATATTTAACTATAGCTGCTTTGTATGCAGCACAAGACTGTGAGAACAGAGGAGTCTGGTGCTGCCCTCTTTATTAATCATTTTTTTTTAGCTTTAATTTTTTGTTGTAATTTTCGGACTGATTACTGAATAAAATAAACTAAACTAAATAATGATAAATTTAATAAAATAATGTTACATGAAACTCCTTCTTCTACCTGTATATATATTGATATATATACAGATTCATATATATATATATATATATATATATATATATATATATATATATATATATATATATATATATATATATATATATATATATATATATATATATATATATATATATATATATATATATATATATATATATATATATATATATATATATATATATATATATATATATATATATATATATATATATATATATATATATATATATATATATATATATAAGCTTGGCCAGGAAGGCGTACGATATGACATCATAATATGACCATGAAAATACTATTTGATTTTGAAAACTTGATCATGACTTAATATGTTTTAAAAATTTGTATACATTTTTAAAAATGTGCTGAAAAAATTATTATAACTTTACTATGAAGAAACTTTAAAAAAAAACTTATTGTAAAAGAAGCAAAAAAAATCTTCGTAAAAAAAACAGCAGAAAATAAAATAAAAAAAAAAAACTAAAACTAAAACTTAATTAAAATAAATAATAAATTATAATGTTCAGAATATCTAAATTACGTTTAGTGTGAACTGTTTATCTTTGGTAATGTTTTTATAATATAATATTTTTCGAAACCCTTTTTTAGCAACAAATTTACTAACGATCTTTTAACTAATGCGTACAATAAAAAAAAAGATTCTTAATTTGTCGCAGTAATGAAAACAAAAGAAAAAATAATTAAATAGTTTATTTAAAAAATTGATATAATTTTTTTTATATTTTAAAACATTTATAATAATAATTACATATTTATATAAATATAAAAAAGATATATTGTTCATTAATATTTTTTTAAAAAACCATTAGCAGTTTTTAATACAAACAGCTTTCAAAAAAGTTTGTCTTTCTTTTTTTTCTCAACGAGATCTTTCTACTTTTCAAGTTTAATTAACTTTAATGATTCCTATTTTAGTTTATTAAAGAGACCATTGCTGTTTAAAGTTGTCGCTTATAAAATTTATCAACCCTCGGAATGTCGGTTTAGTATGAAAATAAGGTTAACTGAATTTTTTTGTATGTGCAATACCGAGAAGGTATTGCACGTACGTATTTTACTATTGGAGTCGGAGTCGCAATTCTGTTTAGCAACTCCAACTCCACTAAAAATGTTGCCGACTCCACAGTCCTGCTCGTTTCTATGTTTTATGGTCAGACCTTTGTATCAAATAATTTTTACCAACCTGATGCCGTCTTCAAAATGATTGAGGTCGGTAATAATTTGCTGACGTCATTTTTCCTAATTCCGAGGGTTGATATATATATATTTATTTATTTATATCAAATTTACAATTTACTTTATTAAATGCTGTTTTAAATGCTTTTAAAGTATTTTTTATTAATTTCATTTTTATGTGCTTTATTTTCAAGACTTGTTTACTTTTCGTTATTAACTAATTTTTCAAAATCATTTATGTGATTATCTTTGGTTTGTAAATTATAAACTTTAAAACTGTATATGTTACCAACTTAAAATTCTGATACAGAATTATTTGACAGAATTATTTGTTGTTTTTTTAATAGATACAAAATTATTTTTTTGAAAACATTTTTTTAGATAATAAATATCTCTTTTCAATAAACGATGGACAAGAGTCAATAACACCTAGTGTTGTCAGAGGTAATAAAAAATTTTAATTTTCTTGAAAAATTTTCTATTTTGTAATATTTATAGTTATTTAATATCAGATTTGTATATAATTAACTTTCAAGTTTTTGATTTCTTAAAGTTTTTTATTTATGTATTAATTTCCTCTGGTTTTCAACCTGCTGTATTTAATATTTTTCTAACGATTTTCATTCTGTCAATTCTTTAGTTTTTTATTTATGTTCTGTTAATTCTTTATTTATGCTCTGTTAATTCTTTATATATGGGTAATTCAATTTGTAAACATCCAGGGCATGCAACCCTAAGTCTCAGATTTTGCTGATTTTTACACCACTTTAAGATTTTAATAAATTTCTTGTAATTATTTAAAAGAAACTTTTAAAAAGAATTTAAAAATAGTGTACACTTTGTTTAATAATAAGTACACTACAATGTGTTATATAATTTGAGTAAACGTAATAAAAAGAAGCAGACACTTCTTAAGTTAGATTCACTATTTCAAAGTACCATTGTATGGTTTTTTTAAAACGTTGTTATTGTATTTTAAAGTACATTTTGACTCAATTTAATATAAGTTTTGAAATTTACATTTTTTTTCAATTTAAAAATCATGTGAATGAGCAGTTGAATCATTAATATCACATAATATATTTTGTTTTTCATTAGTAAAATAAATTTTGATTTTGACTTTAACAAAATTAGTAATAAAAAGCAATTTAAAAATTTATTAGGATGCACATGAGAAAACATTATTAGAATGCACTTAATGATGTATGTGGCAATTCTTTTTTTCTTAAAAAAGAAATCTTGGTATAACAAATTTTTCAAACACTAAAAACATAATGTTTGAAACATTCAACTAAATTAAATTTAAGATTGAGAGAGAATAATAGAGTATTTTTCTTTTTATAAAATGTTTCTTTCCAGTCATAGTTTTCGACTAATTTTGCACTGCATAATGAAACTTTTGTTAAGATTGACAAAATTAGAATGTTTTGGAGATTTCCAATAACATTCTAAACTTGTTTCTAATGGCTAGCTGGAAAACAAAGCATTTGAGGTCAGTTACAGTGTTATTAGAATGGCTTCAGTTAAGATATTATTAGAATGGCTTCAATTAGGATGTTATTAGAATGACTTATTAGGGTGGTTCAAAAAGCAATATTTTATCGAAATAACTGCACCTTCATTTGTTCACTCTCACCTTAATGTGTTCTATATAATAAAATAATACTGGATATAAAAGTTTTTTGAATAAAAAATATTTTTAATGGTGCTACCTTTTAATGAGTCCCTAATATTAATAAAGAAAAAAGTTTTTCAAAAGTATGTTTTGTTGGGTCTCAAAAGAAACAAAATTATATTAAAACTTCAAAAATAATTATTATTTTATAAAAAAAAAACATTGACAAAAAAATATATAACTAAAAAACTTTGTAAAAATGCATATTTTTTATTTTTAGTTGAAAAATGTTGTTTTCTAGGCAGTAAAATCTAAAATAATTTTTTAATAAAATGATGATTATTTTTAAAATTTTTATATTATTTCGCTTCATTTGAGATCCAAGAACACATACAAAAAAAAAAAAAAATTAATAATCTTAGGGACCCATTAAATGTTCAAGGGTCTTGAGGCACCCCTAAAAATATTTTATATTCAAAAAATTTTTTAAATCCAGTGTTATTCTATCTATCTATCATATATAAACACATTAAATCCAGTATTATTCTATCATATAGAACACATTAAATCCAGTATTATTCTATCATATAGAACACATTAAATCCAGTATTATTCTATCATATAGAACACATTAAGGTGTAAGCTGCAGATATTTTTCACAAAGTTGTTTTTGTATCCTATGACTCATACTATAATCTATGATAAGGCAATTAACTAAAATAAATGCCTATTTCCCAAATAGTTTTTGCCTAAAATCATTTTATGTCAAGTTTACTTTCTATTTTTAATCCTTTTAAAGCAATTTCTTTAAATCCACTTTTATGTGATTTTAAGACTCAGTTCACTTGAACTTTTTGTAATTTTGTTAATGAATTTTTGATGTGTATATCTCTATGGTTTTTTAAAAGTGAAACTGTATATTCTAGTTGCTACCTTTAAATTCATTGTGATACCTCTATTCAGAATTATTTGTCATGATTAATTTAACAGTTTTTTTTTTTGACATTAACAGGTGTTAAATTTATTTTAATATTTTTAAGAAAATGAGAATCCTCTCTCAGAAGAAAATAAAGACAAATTGTCAATACCAGAATCAATTGTGCATAATGATGTGAGAGGTAATAAAATATTTGTCATAAATATAATTAGTCTTAAAAATATATTATGTGATAATATTAATAGTTATTTATTAATATCAGATTTGGAATATTTTAAAGTTTTAAATTTGTACAGTTAGTATAATAAGCAATATTTTGTTGTAATAAGCAACGGTTGCGGTATAAGTTTACTGAATTTATTTAAGCTTTGTAATATGTATAAAAATATTTGAAAGAAAGTAATGATGTATCTAGAGGAATAAGAAAATTCTTAAAGTTGTTATGCAGAAGTCATAAGTTAACTCCATGTATGTAGTTAACTTATGACTTCTGCATAAACTTTGAGAATTTTTTTTATGAAGTGAACAAAACAACTGTGTATTGCACATATGTTCTTTAGTTTACTTTTTGTGTTATTTACAAGAGAAACTTTTGATATTCTGCTTCATCAGACAGATTTATATCTATTTATATCTATTGTTTTTTACTGCATTTTTCTTGTATTAATGGTGATAACTTGCCAGTTACAATGTAATGATTTTTAATTTGGCTAACTGTTTAGTATACTGAACAAAGAACTAAGTTATATACAACTAGCTGATTATTTTGTTTTAATTTATTTTAAAATTTATTTTATTTAACTATCATAATAACTCCATTTATGGAGTTGTTATGCAGAAGTGGCTAAAGCTTTAGATAAACGAAGGACGCTTGTTTTGTTTAACACAATATACTAAAAAGTTGACTTGGCTCACACGAGTATATGGTATTAGATAAGATGTTAGATTAGTTAAAAGTGTCAATAACAGTTAAAAACTGCTTTTTATTGAGTTTATAATTGAGATGTTAAAGGCCAAAATATAATTATTAAATATGTATACATAATATTGTTACATTTTTGCTTTAGATACGGATGAATTGAATATCCAAAGTATTATATCTAAGTTAAAAAAAGTATCAATACTAGGGTCATGTGCGTTTGGAAAGGTAAATTTTTATAATATTTGTTGATTAAATAAACATTTAAATATTATTTATTTTAACATAATTTATTATATTATACTTTTACTTTAAGGTTTTTTTTTTAATTTTATTTGTTGATGTGTTTTATATGTTACTTTTATTTCAATGATTTTTTTAAAGTGTTTATAAGTTTTTTTATTGACGCATCAGAGTGTACATACATTGGCTGATTTATGTATCGATACCAAAGCCAGATTATGTCATAAATTTCTGTGCTCTCTCTTCCTTTCAGATTACCTAAGATTATTAACACACAACAAATTCTGTGTTTATTTCTCGTAAGTGGAAAGTTTTTTTTGAAAGTGTAAAACCTACTCTTCTTAGGTAATAAGTTTACTATGGGCTTGAACCTTTTAAATTAAACATAAACTAATATTAAACTGAAGAGTAAGACATTGTATCAGTTAAGTAAAACTAAACAAAAATTAAACATAAAAAATAAATATTTCCACTGAACCGTATAATTAAAAATTAAATGTAAAACAAATACTTCTAAAAAACCGTGTAAATTAAATTTAAATATATATGCGCTAAATATAATACGAACAGCTGCACCATACCATCAACACTTAATTTAAACTTAAACAAAACTTATAACAAACAATAAAGTATATAAAATTAAAATGAATATTAACTAATAAAAGAATGAATATATCACTAAACTGTACAACCTAAACAAAATATAAATTAAATATATTGCGAATATTCACACTAAACCATATTAGCTTAAACTTAATATAAACTAAATACTAAAACAATAATTTTACTAAAACGTATATATTAATTTAAGTATAAAGTGAATATAAAGCGAATGATTTGAATAAACCATATAAACTGAACTAAGTAGAAACTAAATATAAAATGAATTATTTTACTAATAATCATATAAATCAAATTCGAAATCTCAATAAAAGTCAAAACTAATACTTGTAGTAAAATATACAAAAGTTGTTATAAAAATATAAAACAAAAAATTACATTAAAACATATAAAGTAAACATAAAAGAAACACTAATATGGTCTAATACCATATAAACTAAATTTAAAACAAGAAGCATCATACTGCTTGATTTGTCCTCCAAACTCTAGTAGTAACAAAATATTTATAATTGTGTCATGATTTTGGCTTCTAAAACAAAATAATAAATGAAAAAAGTAATGAGACAGATTACTGTTTCCATTTTCTTCTCTTAATTACCTGCTAAAACACTGCGCACTGTGAAATATGAGATTCTATAATACTGGTACAAAAATCACATTCAAGAAATATTTTAAAAAATCTAAACAACTAAATTAAAGATACAATTATTTAAAAATCATCCTGATGGTTGTTAAAAACAAGTTGCCCTAATAAAATATAAAAACAGAATATATTACTTTATTTTTAACTGTATTACAAATATTTTTTGGGAGTTGGTAAAATATTATACAAATATATTATTTGCTGATTGTAGGGGAAAAATAAATATATCTTTAAAAAAAAAAAAAAAAAAAAAAATATGATGATGTTATATACCGAAACTGATATGAATTAAACACGCATGAAATAAATTATCAAGTCTGCAGATTGCGGCTAATATACAGACCCCAAGAATTAAACAAAAATGGACTCGGTGAGCTTCGGCTAAAACAGCAAATTTAATTTTATTGTTATGCATTTTTTAGTTTTAATCAAAAAAATTTATCCCAAACATTTTTTTAAACATTTTCTTTTATATGAATAAAACTTGTGGCGGCACTTTAGCATCCCTTTAAATTAAATATTATACTTAAAAAAAAGTTTTATTTTTTTATTTGGAGGGGGTGAGGTGTGAGTGAAGGGACAGTGAAAGAGAGGTTGGGTGGGGTGAAAGTTGGGAGTCCATGTGTTTTTGAAATGAATTTAGTGTCTGATATAAATTTGGTTTTATTTTAGGTCCATCTTTGCGTAGATGAAAATACAGGCAAAAAACTAGCAATGAAATGTATTGAGACTGAAAACATTGATAATAATGTTAAAGTAAAAGAAGAAGTTGAAAAATTTCAGCATGAAATTGTACTTTTTAAAGAATTAAATCATGAACGAATTGTGAAATACTATGGTTCAGATTATACCAACACAACAATCTCTATTCTAATGGAATACATGGAAGGGGTTTATAAGTTTCAATTATTTTTGTTTTTTTATAAATTGTTAATTTTGTTTTTTAATTAATATTTAATTTAGGAAAATTCAATTATAAAAATTAAATGAAAATAAAAATAAAAATGAATAACATCGACTACAGAATCTCAAAAAGTGAGTTCAGTAAAAAATATATACATATTAGGTATATATTTTTAAATGATATTATTTAATAAAAAATAAAAATAAAAAAGTTTAATTAAAATACAAATTGTTATTATTTAAGTTAAACAATTAGTACTTTTTTTTATATTTTTTTAAATTCCTAACCCTAACCCTTAATCCTGACTCTTTTTTTTTCACGCCTCTTAATTGTTCCTAAATTGTTCTAACACAATCAAGAGTTCTTAGAAATGGCCAATGTTTTGTTTCCTATACAGATGTAGACATTTTTAAGTTAATTAGCCAGGATCGTAGAAGTGAGGCTGAGGATTGTAGAGATGAGGCTGTAAAGGAGAATTCTAATCTTTGAAGAGATGTTTGAAGAGGGGACATGGTAAAAATGTTCTAAAAAAATGACAAAACATAGCTAAGATAGTAGCTGAAGGTGAGTAAAGGATGAGAAACCTGCTGAGGAAGATGGTAGAAAAAGAGCTAGACAGAAAAACTGAAGGAGAGACTAAGAGCAAACATTGAGCTAAAAAAAGAAGGCCAGTTACTAGTAAAAGCAGCAGAAGAAGTTTTGAAAAGTTTTTAAAAGGAATTCTCCAGAGGGATTATGATTCAGATTTTGAGACTCTTACTGCAAAGGAAAAAAAGTTGTAAAAAGTAAATAAGTTTAAAAAAGTTAATTATATTGCAAATATATATAAAACTTCTAGTTAAAACAACTTAAATGTTACATAATTTAAAAAAATTACAATGCTCTGTTTTTTTAGGTATCAAATTAATGTGAGAGCTGAAACAGCAATGTTGTCTTTCCTATTCCAAGCTGGAGAATAGATACTGACATGTTGAACATTTTTAAGTTGCAGATGGCAAGAAAAAACCATGAAAATAAAAAGAATGAAGCACTTATAGTAAGAGAGCAGAACTTAGATAAGGTTGATACAAAGTTGGTCAATTACTACAGGACAGAGGTAAACATTTCAGAAACAGTAGCTTGGCAAATAGTATTTCCTTCTCAAAGTTCGGTTCACTTGACTTTCTTCTTGGTTTACTTAAAGTACCCTCCTCTAAAAGTAAAACACTGGTAATCCAAAGTCTGATGTATTATGACTTAACAGATTATTTAACAACTTAACAAAGACTTAACAAACAACTTTATGACATAACAGACCATAGCATACCTTGTTGTGCTGACACAACTCGCTCTAACACTAGAAAACATAATGGTGCAATTAGAAATATTGAAGTTTATTCTCTACTTAATTTTTTAGCTGTAATTCTTTTGGTGTAATTCTTTGGCTAATGTGCAGATGTTTTACTATATTTTACTCAGGCTTTATCCAATGAACTTAGAACATTTAAGATTTCATCGCAGATCATGATAGATTCACTTCGTATGGAAAAATTGGCAAAGCTCTTAATCTTAGTATTCTCTTTACACGACAGTGTGTTATTTTTGTTTATGCTGACCAGCGCTTAGAGGAGAAAAAGAGGATAGAAAGAGGACTTGTTAAAATATAACGTTTAAGTATAACGTTCTAGAGCTAAACAACTTTGACAATGAACAAGAGCCTTTTACACAGGTCTGTCCCCTCTCAAAGCTATTAAACTTTATTTCTCAGGAGACTTAACTCTTTTTTCTTTATCTTGGTATAAACGAAGATGACATTCTCTTGTGAAAAAAAGAAGACATGTCAAATTTGAAGAAAAACCTCAACAATAGATCTTTCAAGACATTTGTGTCCAATGAGTGTTTCATAAAACAACATTTTTGAAAAATATCCGCAGCTCACATCTTATTGTGTTTTATATGATAAAATAACACTGGTTTTAAAAGTTTTTTTAATGAAAAGTATTTTTAGTGTAATCTCAAAACCCTTGAACATTCAAATGGTCCCATTGGAACATTCAATTCAGCTTTATCAAAGTTAAAGTTCACCAGTCACTTGTTCCCCAATGCGCCCACCAAGCAATCAGAGAGTCAGCTTTTTATCAAGACAAGAAGAAATGGCAGTATCATCAGCAAACAATGACATCTAAGATGTGAGAATTTCTGGGAGATCATTAATGTAAATTAAAAAGAGTATAGGGCCATGGATCGAACCTTGAGGAACCCTTAAAGTTACAGAATATGCAGAAGAGTGATGTCCATTGAGGATAACATTAATACTACGATTGGTAAAGAAGGATTCAATAATGTTAAAGATGTTACCTGATACACTGTAACAAGAAAGCTTATGGAGAAGATAATGCCTAGAGCGATAACCTTTACCTCTCCTCGTCTATCTGTTGTACAATAAAACATATTGTTTATTACGATAAATAAATCAGCAGTAAAACAAGAAGACCGAAATCCATATTGATTATCAGAAAGTAAGTTATTAGATTCACGATACGAGATTAAATGTTTGTTAATTAAAGACTCAAAAACATTACTTATGATAGGAAAAAGACTAATGGGGGGGGGGGGTTAATAAGATGAGTTACGATTGATTATGCGGTGGTGGTGTAGTGGTAAAGCGCTCGTTTCATAAACTAGTGGTTTCGAGTTCGATCCCCACCAGATTCCTGGTAGTACTGCGCTCAACTTGTTTCTCCGCGCAGCGGCCTTGTTCGTCAAGGTTCGTGTTTCGGAGTTATAGAATTGAGAGAGGGTTATAGCCACAAATAAGTAGCCTCCTCGTCTGTAGTGGCCTTCTCGGCCTTGAGGAGGTGAATTTAAATAATAAAAAAAAAAAAAAGAATAGATCAACCTGTTTAATAGCTATATCAGATAGGATGTGACTAGTGGAATCAAGAAATGATATTGATGAGAAGTTCTTAGGAAACAATTCAGCTATGTCTTTTGGAAGGTGACAAAATCTGAACCATACAAAATATACCCTTATTCTAATTACTGTTAAAAATTCTCCAGACTTCATGATAGCCTAATTTTTGAGATAAAGTACGAGATTTTATGGCCTGAGAAAAGCGGGCTTTGGCGTTAGACAAAACCCGCTATTCAAAAAAACAGGCGTATGTTTTTTGGAGAATTGGTTTTCTGATAGATATGGAAGTAATGGTTTCGATTGGCAATTGCAGCAGCACAATATAAGGAAAACCATGGAGAGGAGTGAGGCTTGACCTGGAATCGTCAAGAGGGAATAAAGGATTCCATGCCAGCCTGAATCCAAGAAGTTATATAAAAAGCACATCTATCAGCAAGAAGTCAAAAGGTTTCTACCTAAGGGCCATCACAAAAAAAATCGCCGAAAGAGTCTCAGTCAACTTTAGGGTTGTTGAAAGAGGCACGATGATAGGGGGATAGGGGGATATTGAAGAAGAACAAGATAATAATTTTAGAGAGGTCAAACCGTGATCAGAAGCACCTAAGGGTGAATGTTGAGAAACTGAACATGGACTAGGATCAGAAACAAGACACATCGAGTAGAGAAGCTAAAGAATTTGGAAAGCGAGTTGGAAAGTTGAACATTAGTGTTAGAGATTGAGAAAGACAAAAGTTGTGGGCTGAATTACCTGCAGAGTCACTGACACTAGAACCAAGCCATTTAGTGTTATGAGCATTAAAGTCACCAAGAACATCAAAGGCTGTAGGATAGAGTGGGCTTAGTCAATTTGTTCTGAAATAACATCAAAAAGAGTGGTGTCTTGAGATGAAGGAGAACGATATAGAACAAAGAAAAAGACGATAGAGTGAATTGGTGCTAAACGAAAGCACATAAAAGAATAATCTTTAGATTCAAACCTAGTTTCTCAATAAATGGGTTAATTCTTACGAATGTAAATGTCCAGGCAAAGCGCGTGACTATTGGAGTCTTTATAAATTAAAGGAATGTAGCCATCAACACTAAGATCACAAGATGAGACAGCTCAAATTAGTCTCATAAAGAGCAAGTAGGTCTAGTAAACTTTGCAAGAGATAAGACTCAACAGAAGAAAAGTTTCTTTGAAGACAATGAATATTAGTGAATAATAAGTTTAGAGAATTTGATGTTGACTATGTTTTTTTGTGTTTCATAGTTTTTGATACTATAGTAATTTTTTAATTTTCTTAAAGATCTTGGCTCAAAGGTTCTCAGTACACTTTCAAATAGTCCAAACAATTGAGTCAAGCCTCATTGAGTTACCACCCAGCCTCAGAACCATAAAACTGAGTTTTAGAGCTGTACCCTTATCACAGCTGTTTCAGAGTGAGCTTTATGGCTTCTTGTTTTTTTTAACTTAGGTAGTGTGACTAAAACATTCATAATTTTTGAAATATTTGAGACAATTTTTTTTGTAAAAAGAATAAAAACAACAATAAAATTTTTCATCATACGACATTTAATACAATATTAAAAAAACTTCTTTCAGTTTAGAAAAAAAGCAACAAATGATGAACTTGGCTAAATTTTAGTAATTTGTTGTTACTTTTTATCAAAAAAAAAATATATTTCTGATAGTTATTATCAAATACACTCGTTGTTTGACTATTAATAAAATAAAAAAACCTTACTTAGTTGTTAAAGATTAACTAAAACAGTTTTTATTTAACAGTTTTTAAGTCTGCAAGCAAACCGCATTTTTTTCAAAATTATGAAAAATGTTGTTTAAAGGAGGATTAGCTGTTAAATGAGTATGTTTTAAATATGAAAATAATTCACCAAGTTAATAAATTCAATGCATTACAAAATAGAGCCAGATTTCGATTTTGAAATATTTAGTCTTAACATTTTAAGCTAAAGATTTTTAAAAAGCAATTTCTTTCTTTATAGGCATATGGTTTTAATAATATGGTGTTAGGTAGCGTAACTTAGTTTATTTTATACCTCCAAAATTTGTCTTGCTGAAACAGATATTTCATTAAAAATCTTTAGTAAACAGCTTGGGAAATAACGCAATAAAGTTTATGTCATTGCTTAGAAATGTCAACAGCGTAAAACTAAAACGATTTGTAGTAAAACTTGCCAAGTTTAAAAACATATTTGCTAACATAGCAAGAGGTACATAAAATAATTTTTATATTTTCATCTGCAAAAAAGGTTGAAATATTTAATAACTTATGTCATCCATCAAAAAAATTATATTTTACATTTAAAAGAGATAAATTTAAAAGTATAAATGCATTAAAAATTGAGTTATAGTAGAAAAATCACCTAGATGACGTAGGAATCTGATAGAATAGACATTCATTGATAAGTGTTTCAAATTTTGACCATCAAGCATGTAGCTATGTTAGCGAATCTTAGTTGGTCCAAGACAGGTTTTCCATAGAAATCGCCAAAAACAGTAAAGTGATCCGAAATCATTTAAAATATTTTAAAAATGTTTATTTTTATTTCATTTAATGTAAATGTTTTTTTAACGAAGAAAGATAGTTCTTTTATATTTTTTTAATTCCAAGATGAAAGCGTTTATAGAAAAAAAATAATATTAATTTAAAGTTGATGAATTTTTATGATTTTTATACTTTTATGACGTCAAGCTCGTTTTTATATTGAGTGAAACAGCTGTGTTATATGGAGATAATAGAATGAAATGCCTAGTCAAAAAACAGAGATACAAGCAAAACCTTGTTTAATTCAGCAATAAAGCATTAATTCATTAAAAACGATCAAAAATCATCACTGAAATATAATATATATGCAGTATATGTAAAAATAATGGGGAAAAATAATTTGATATTATTAAAATAAACGCAATTATTTATATAATACTTGAACAAATGCTAAAAGATAAGTCAAATGATTTTAAATCGGGAATAGCTGTGACTATCAGCTGTTCGATTGAACAAAAAGACAACTGCAACAGTGAAAATGCACTAAAGCTGTTATACTTAATAATTTAAGTTTTTTAATGTAGTATTAAGGACAGATTTAGATAAATAGTAAAATAGAAAAAGTGTGTCTAATAGCGCATCTATATTCTATATATATATATATATATATATATATATATATATATATATATATATATATATATATATATATATATATATATATATATATATATATATATATATATATATATATATACAAAAATATTACTTTTCAGGGATCCCTTTATGATAAAATATCAAATAAAGGAGCTTTAGATGAAAAGACAGCATCTGAAAAATCTTATCAAATTCTTTGTGGATTGGAATACTTGCACAATAAAAATATTGTACATAGGGACATTAAAAGTTAGTTTTTTATGATTTCTATTTTATTTAGATTAAATATTTATTTATAAAATTAAATATTCAATTATTTGTTTGTTATAAAATTATGAGTTTTGTTTTTTTATGAGTATAGTTTTATTTTAATTTTTGTTTTACTTTCTTTTATATATAAATTACTTTTGTTAAACTACTTTTGACATTTTAAACATAAAAATATATAAATGTCGTTAATGTAATAAATTCATAATATAAAGCTCACAAAGCGCAAAAATTCATGGGTGTAAGAGGTAAAAAAATGTTGGTGCCGTAATAACCAATTAGAATTAAGTAGTTGATAAATGGTGATCCCCCTCTTCAGGAATGCACTGTGATCACCAACATTTCAGAGAGCCCGAGACCTGCACTAATGCCACTCGTCAGGGGCGTGTCCTTGCAACAGATCTCACCACCTGCACTCTACCTCATGCTAGTCAATATTGCAATATAATAGGACTACACTACAAAAGCCAAAAAACCCAATCTTTATCCCAGTTTTTGAAAACAGCTCCAACATTCATAGAGATCTTGTGAGGATGGTGAGAGATGCGCGTGGTGTGACCATAAACAGATATGTAAACAAATATAAATATAAGGTACCCTTACATTAGAAGAAACAAACTTGTACACATGTACGTATGCGCGTGTATAAATAAACAATTATGTGTAGAAATAACACAAAGCGAATAGATAATAGTAATTAATAATTAATAGTAACTTACCGTTTCTTTTATGGCTGAAATATGTATTATAAATATAATAAGTAAATACCACTCATAAGCATTGATACTAAGTTAAGATGTTTTGTGGTTAGTACAAAAGTAGTTAAACGAAAGTATGATAAAAAATGTGATATCTTCTATAGTATGTTCTCATATAAATCTTGCCTGGTAAGTAGAGACAATAGCTGTCACACAAAACAGACTCAGAGTAATTAAACAACGATTAGCCAGAGATAAAAAATATACAAACATTAAATCAGTACGCAGAAAATAATGACAAAATAAAAAAATAAGTCAATAAATGCGATTTTTAACTAATAGCTTATTACCACTAAAAAGCGTAACGTTAAAAAACAACATTGTTGACAAAACGACTGAAGAAACTTTAGTGAAGACTGTATAGTGCAAACCACAACAAACAAACTTAGCGACCTCAGATCAAGAAAATTAGATAGAAACAAAAAACCTAACGAAATCGTGATTAGTCTAAACTTATCTAGTGAAATTGTTCAGTATATTCCAACCAAGAATACATTTGTTATAAAAAATACGCTAATACGTACTTTTGTGTAAAATTTTTGCGCTGTTATGCTTCTCACAAATATACAGCCTCATTCACACATTATAAAATAAATCTGAATAAATATACAAGGATAAGGTAAAAAAAGATTATGAACAAAATTATATAATAAAGAACAAATATTTGATATACTGATTTACGAGGCTGTTGATTTCTACAGGTGTGATAGTGTAGTGCATCAGTACGTACCGTTTGTTGTCTAGTATGGTCTCATTATGTTTCCATTCAATTTCAAATCGGATGAATTGAAAGCTAAACACACTCACTCCCTGCGCTTATTGGCTAGCACATCAGAGCCAGACATAAGACCTACAGAATGGATTTCAATTGATCGAATGCACACATTAGTCACCGTAGGCCATAAGCCATCACTCTTAGTCAAAAGAGCTACTGCCCCATGCTGGTGTGAAATGATGTGCTATGGAGTAAGATTTTAGATCCAAGCACATAGTCAACAAGCGCTGATCCGATATGAATTGTGGAGCTTCTGACTGAACGTGTACATGAGTGTCAAGGTAGTCATGAGGTTATTGATCGCCGTAACCACATCCAGCGGGATAGCCTAATGTCTGTTTTGTCGTTGTGGCGTACATTGGAAAAAGTCGGGGCTCACCAGCCACAAAGAATAAATAATAATTCTGTATACTTTAATGCTGTCTGTTTGCTTAGTTTTTTTTGTTGATAAAATTTTTTGCTTAGTTACTTAACCTTTTGTTTATATTTTTACTTCTAATTTTTTACTAGATACCTAAGTATTTTGTGTAGACATGTTATTGTGGTTAAGTTTTAGCAGGAAACATCAAAGTTTGTTTTATATCACAATTAATTTGTCTTGCTGTGCAGCAGACTTATTTATTAAGGTTCTTAATTTAAAGCTAAAGAAATAACTTTATTACAGAATTTAAAAGATAAGAAAAAAAAGAGTAGTGGAGTGACCTGAAGTGGCCTTGCAGCCTAAGGTTGTTAAATGTAATTTACACAAAAAAATTAGCAAATTATTGTTGCTAATTTTTTTTGGAAGTAATGTTGGTCTATGGGATAATGTGGATCTAATCAATGTTTATTAGTTTTTCAAAAAAATGGCTTTAGGGAGAAGATTTTTTTTTCTGTATATTATAGGTGGATTAACAGCACTCTAAATTTAATTACCAACTTACTATGCAAATTTTTAAGTATATTTTTTATTCAAAATGGCACATTTATTTTAAGGGAGATTTTTTTATCAACAACCCTAAGTTTCAAAAAAACGTGCTTTAACATTGGGCTCTAATATATAGAAAAGTTTTATCTGAAAGAAGAATTACTAGACAATTAGGTTCAATTAACTCTAAGACAGGATATGGTGCATAGTTTTTTTGAAATGAGCAACATTGTTGGGTGGAGTAATGTGAGTCTATATGTCAATGTGTTTTGTTCTGTTAAGAATCTAATACTTATATAATAATAATTACTTTTAAAATGAAAATTAGAAATAAAAAATTTGACTATGATTCTGGATTCATTTTTCTGGATTCATGTTTCTATGGATTCATTTAGATGATCATTAAAGATGTAATAGTATGTTTTCAATTAAAACTATAAGATAACCCAGCAGTTTTGAAGGATTTTTTATTCAAAATGGTGCATACATTTAAGGAGAGATTTTTTATCAAAAACCTTAAACTTCAAAAAAATGGATATTAAAAACTTGGTCTAACACATAGAGAATATTTTATCTGGAAAAAAAAAATTACCAGATAATTAGGTTCAATTAGTTTTAAGATGGTATGATGTATAGTTTTTTTGAAATAAGCAACATTTTTGGGTTGAGTAATGTAAATCTATATGCAAATGTGTTTTGTGTCATTAAGAATCTAATGTTTATTCAACAATAAATACCTTTAAATTGAAAATTAGTAAAAATTAGAAGTCGGACTATGTTTCTGGATTTATTTTTCTGGATTGCTATGGATTCATTTAGATGATCATTAAAGATGTAATGATACCATATTTTCAATTAAAACTAGTAGATAATGCAGCATAACAGTTTTGAGGGATTGCACATTGAATTTTTCTTATATAAACATTGTTTTTGTAGGATGACAAATCTCTAATATATAACACAAAATCCAATTAAATTTTAAATTTTTTTTTAAATGTAGTTTTATCATGCTTTGACTTTTTATAAGTATTTCAATTTTTGAATTTGAACATCATATATTCAATATGTGGAATGTGATTTGATATTTAGAAAAGTGGTTTAAACTATGGAAATTAAACCGCAAAAAAGCTCTACATTATTTGGAATGCAACTAACAGAAATAAAAAAAATAGTTTATTTTGTATTTCTAATTTGATGCTTTAATCATGTAATGTTCTTTTGCATTTAAAGCATATATTGTATTATTATGTTTCAATTATTATATAATAATTAAATTTTTATCACCAAGCCCTACTATGTTAAAGCATTTTTTATTCAAAATAGTCCATACATTTAAGGAGAGATTATTTTATCGAAAACCTTAAACTTCAAAAAAATGGGTATTAAAAACTTGGTCTAACAATTAGAAAATGTTTTATCTGGAAAAAAAAATTACCAGATAGTTAGGTTCAAGTAGTTTTACGACGGTATGAAATAATTTTTGGGTGGAGTAATGTGAGTCTGCATGCCAATGTGTCATTAAGAATCTAATGCTTATACAACAATAAATACCTTTAAAGTGAAAATTAGTAAAAATTAGAAGTGGGACTATGTTTCTGGATTTATTTTTCTGGAGTCATATTGCTATGGATTCCTTTAGAAGATCATTAAAGATGTAATGATACCATGTTTTCAATTAAAAACATGATATCATTACATCGTTACAACTGTTACAATGCAGGGTAACAGTTTTTAAAAATTGCACATTAAATTTTTATTATATAAACATATTGTTTTGTAGGATGACGAATCTCTAATATAAAACACAAAGTTCAATGAAACTTCCGCTTTAAATTCTTCCTTTTTATAAGTATTTTGACTTTTGAATTTGAACATCATGTATTCAATATGGAGATTGTGATTTATTCTTTATATTTAGAAAAGTGGTTTAAAAACTATAGAAATTGAACCAAAAAAAAGCTCTACATTCTTTGGAATGCAACTAACAGAAGTAAAAAAATAGTTTATTTTGTATTTCTAATTTGATACTTTAAACATGTAAAGTTCTTTTGCATTTAAAGCATATATTACACTATTATGTTTAAATTTTTAATAAAGTAATTTAAATATAAACATATTCAATGCCATCAATCATATTTTACTATAAGTTAGTATATATCATTAGAAAAAGATAAAAATGTACCTTGGACCACATTACCCTACTAAACGAGGTAGTGTGGGTCTATTGAATTATTGGTCTTTTTTTAAAATACTTTACTAAAAATGTCTAATCATAATTTTAAAATGGATTTTGTCAAAAAAAAATTGTTTTGTTATATATATTTTTTGCTCAATATCAAAAGTAGGTAAATAAAAAATTAGATTACCCCACCCAAAATAATGATAAAAAAAACCTATTCATTTAATAGTATAAAAAGGCCTAGAAACTTACTTTTAATGTACTTGAAAACACTTTTCACCTTCTTCATAAACTTGTTATCATCAAGTAAACAGTAAAATCAAATAAATCTCAAAGATAACAATATATAATCACATAAGTAAG